TCTTTTCCCAGTAATTAATTTTTCACTTCCCGATAGTGAACATTAGTAATCCTTTTTATTTTTACTACGTCGGTGATTCACAATGTACTGCGTGTCTCGGATCTCTTAATCCCCCAATGTAAAATGGCGCTTTGGCCTTTAATTCTCTAGCTAATATGTGCAGCCCTGTCTTTTATGGATAACTGGAACTCCCAGTAAATTGAGAATGTCACCTCTCTCTCTCTCTCTCTTTTTTTTTTTTTAACCATTGGGGAATGGAAAACGAAATTCCATACGAAATTCTATTGTTGATTGCCTTTATTTTATTATTAGTATTAGAAGTTATTTCTATAAATTTAAATCCCAACTTAATGAAATTTTTTTTTCAAATTTAAAGTTAAATTTATTTTTTAAACTGCGAGTGGATCATTACAGCCTATAATAAAAATGAAATGAACTTTAATGATAATACTACTTACTTTAACTACTATAAAACCAAATACCACAAAATCACTCAATTCATTGCAAACATTTATCTGCCCGAAAGTTGTAATGGCTGTGATCGACGTATATATCGTTTATTATGTTAATTTTTGCCCAAGTAATTTTATAAAAACATCGTAAAAAAGAAGCAGATCACGTCTTCTGCCAGCTTAAAGTACAGTAAATTGAATGGTTTTACATTAAGGAACATGGCAACCGACGTAGGATGAGTTAAACAAATCGATAATAAAATTTAAAAAAAGACACGCGAAATTTTAAAACAATATTCAAGGGAGAGCTAGTTAAAAAAAAAAAAAAAAATCATGTCGAATGGTAAGTGGAGAAGGGCAAGAGCAAGAATCAAGGTGGATGCTTATTATTGTCCCATGCATGAATATAAAGATTAAAAAGACTCAGTAATAATGTTAATGTGCATGTAGAGACATTTACGCTGGTAAGCGCTTGGATCAAGAACGTGTGTTTTTGGAAAATTGGGACAAGTGAAGAAATATTAGGCTAAACATGATGATTAAGAGCCAGAATGACCAAAACCCAGATTAAAGAATAGACATTTTCACAGTAACAAATCTTGGACTTGATGAAGATTTGATGATTTCCATTGACCTCTTCTTCCTTGATCACATTGTATAGCTAAACCCCCTCACCAAGTTGGATGGGTATGTAGTTTCCTGGCTTGGGCAATTTTTTTTTTTTAAATTATACGAAAAATTGATTTGATTTGATAATTGTAAGTAGAGGTAGCAGCGCATATTACTCGTAAAATTTGTCGAACTCGATGTATCATTTATGTAGTTGTCGTTAGTTAGATAGTACTTCTTGTATGGATCAAAATGCTTCCCTTTCACTTGGCTCCATGGTGGGACGACGAAAACTTCAAGATTGAGAGCCACTTTTTTTTTTTTTTTTGGTTCCAACGTCAGCAGAGAGCATTCTCTTCTCCATAACATGGGATCTGCATATTGCTCAGACACAGACTTCCCTTCTCTTCTTCCCAGTTGTTAATTTATCCCCAAGTTTTTAGTTTTCCCAGTGAAATTCCGATACCCCTTATTAGTTCATTCCAATCTCAAGAAACTTTTTAACCCATCCTAATGTACCTCATACGGTTGTCGTTCTCGTTCAGTTAATGTCCTCCAGGCCCCAAGTCAAGGGGTGACCCTATCGCCTTCATAAATTTCTATACAATTTACCTCCCTTTTTTTAATAATTATTGAACATTACTAATGATTTCCAGTTTTTGCTTCTAACATATACTCCATCCATCTGAAGAAAGGTGTTTTAGGTTTGCGGGTCGGGTTCGACACGAACACGAATTTTAATATACTAACATGAACACGACCCATTTAATTATGCGGGTTAATTTTTTGAACCCGAACACGATTTTATATTAATACGAAATGATCCGATACGACACAAAATTACCTAAAAATAATTTAATTTATATTTAATTAACAGAATAGATATATATTTAGAAAAAAACACTAACTAAATAACCTAGAATTGTTTATGAGGGAAAAAAATAATTATTGCGAAATACTATTAAGTTGGAGTTTAAAGATTAAATAGATTATCTCATCCATGGCATAAAAACCAAATTAAACGGTAAAAATAACGAACTACATGTCCACAAATTTGTATCTCAAAGTAGTATCTCGATCTCAAAATGCTAGCACTAAAGACAAATCCTCTTAAAAGTATTACATATTATGATAAACCAATAACAATTATCGTATCTTTTTAATAATTATCTAATAAGGCCTCAAAATTAATAAATTAGTTATTTTAAATTTCGGGTCAAATGAGTCATGTCGGATCGACATGAATATGAATTTGACTCATTTTGTTTAACGTGTATTTTGACACGAATCCGCCAGAACTCAATCCTAAACCCGTTAATTACGTGTTAAGTTCGAGTCGTGTTTTTGTGTCAAGTTGAAGATTGACACCTCTAAGAAAAATAGATGTGAGTTTTTTTTTTTTTTTTTTCTGAGATGGAAGGAGTATATGAAAATGAAATTTTCATACATTAATTAAAAAGTTCGAACAGCGGAGCAAGTCTTTATTAATTTCTTCGATTTTATTTTTGTTTGGCCTTAATTTTTAGTTTGGTGGTTCATATCTTTGTTTTTTTTTTTTTTTTGGTTAAAAGGTGGTTCATATCTATGTCTGTGGTCCGTCAGTTTCATTTAACCAACAACAACAGTATTTGTCCCTCTTTTCCGTAGGACCGTAACCCACAGATTTATGTACACAATTACAAGTTATCACATCAAATTATTTGTGGAACATGCATTAATGTTTTTTCCCAAAAGGGAGAAGCGTATAAATGAATGGGGTCAAATAATCAATATAGAGTTTATAGATATTCATTTTGATACTTTAGAATATGAATGAATACATTGAAATTCATATCCTTCATGCATCCATGATCATCATTATAATATAGACAACCATGAAATGAACTTTATGGCTGAAAATCACCCAAGAAAACAGAAGCAACTAAAATATAGTCAACCCGAAAAAAGTAAAAGGACAAATAACAAGTAATTAAAGTCATCGATTAAATGAATTTCTATTAATAAAAATAATTAGATTCAAGGAATCCAACCAATAAAAGATGAAAAAAAAGTAGTAATGTTTTTAATAAAAAAAAAGTGAAGAGAAAAAGGCAATGAAAAAGGTTAGTTAATCAAGGAAATTAAAAACCAGGTCGCGTTTTTTTTAATACATATGGCCACACCGATTAGAAATTTCTCAATACTTGGACCTCCCAAATCCACGTTAACTTTAATTTCTTAATAACTTAAAAGGAAAAAAAGGAAGAAGAAGAAAATATCCGATAGTTAATAATGTGTGTGAAATTAAGATGAATCCCCAGGGAACAGAATGGAAAGATTACCCGCACCGAATCAGACCAACTCCACAAGGTGCCTGGACCGTTACCATGTGCGGTAAAAAAGCGTAAAAACGATCAGTACAGAGATTATAAGTGATTACAGCCAGGGGTTAAGTGAAAAGGATAATATTAACTACACTCCCAACGATCTCGCGTGAACAACACTGTGTCAGTGGATGCAAGGAGCGTTATCCACACGTGGCAAACTTCGCGTGTTTTGGCATTTTTTTTCTCGGTAGTAGGAAATTTGAAAAAGGAAGGTAAAAGATTCAGAAAGGCCGTACAATTACCACAATTATAAATGGCGGCACATCCTAGGTTGCCCGCCATGTTAATCCCAGCTGTAAATACTTCTTGTAATAAAATTTTAAATTCTGCTGAGATTAAGAGATAAATTGGCAAGTCATAATAGAAATTAACTATTTTTTCCCTAGAGTATCCTTTTTTTTCCCGGTTAACGGTAATATGCATTTTCACTAAAGTAAAAATAAGAAACACTCTTGTATTTACGTTAAAAAATTTTCCTTGACATATTTTCTTAACTCTTTGTTTATCTGATCACTGATAATGAATTTTGATTTTCTTAGCTAGATATATTATTACAAATTCCTCTAAAGTATATCTTCGTTGAACAATCAGCAATCAACCATCAAGGTGAATAGAGGATCAATTCAATTTCACTTATTGCTGAAATGCAGCAACAAAAAATCAAATCCTCAAGGGGACCAAAAAAAGAAAATAATGGCATTTTAACTTTTTCCCAAGTGCAGCCAAGAAAGACGCAGAAACTCGAAGATATTTTGATAATTATTAGTCATTTGGCGTGTGGCAGTGATGCGATTTAAATTAAGTGAGTTATTAATGAATTTTGAAAATCTAATTGCTTAATAACGTTCCAAATTGGTAGAAAATCCATCTTGTTTAGGAGGGGCACCAAGTCAAGGACAAACAAGGGAAGAACTTGACCAAAATCACAGTCACTGACTCACACACCATCATAAGTAGTGAACAGCTAATTAAGCGTTGGTAAATTGAGGTCATTTACCAAAAGAAGACACCCAAATTAAACGCTTTTAACCCCCACAATCTTTATAATTTTGGTCAAAGAGGAGAAGTGGAGTAACTGGCTTTATAATTTGACCGACATATTTTAACTGGGCCGAGCATCCTGGGCCTCACGTGACCGGTCACACGTAATTCGAGAAATAGCAAAATCATGTGCTGATTCAGCACCATTTGAAGTTTACTCATTGGACCAACAACGTCCACCCCAGGGTCCCACCTTTGCCGTACGTGTCCATATCAAACATGAGCGAAAATGCGGCGAGCCGCAGCACTTTATTTGCCGTTGCCGGAATCTTTGGCCCCACGAGTTGCCGACGGCCGGTGGCTGGACTTACCCCAGATATTTTTCCTTCCATACAATTACTTGAATAATAAAATAATAAATACGTATTAATCATAATAATCCTATTAATAAGGAAATAAATTTTATTTTTGGGTGAATTACTTGAATGGTTTAAATTACCCAATGAGAACACCTAGATTATAGGTAACACAAAAAGAAGAAAAGAAATAATAGTAATTAAATGTCCAATGGACTGCGAGCGTTTTTTAGGAGCTTTCCAAAAAATTTCGGCTGGGTGGGGATCCTATTTAACAGTGATTTCAGTGTTCTGGTCTCTGCCTCTCCCAATACACACAGTCACACAGTTTAATACACATCTCTCTCTCTGTATTCGCATTATATATATTCGATTTCTCTGGAGCTGAATCCCGGATACCACCCTTTTCTTCTTCCTTCCTGTTATTTCCCCAGAGAGGAAACTGGTGAGATTCTTTATACTGAAAGGAGTGTAATAACAGAACCAGATTTTTAAGGTTTTTGGTTTTCCCCGGTTTGATTCCTCCGACCAAATTCAAAGTAACCACCTTTTAATCTCTTTTTCATCCCTTCTATTTGCGTGCGTGTGTGTGCGTGTAAGCTTCCAGCATTGGTATTAAAACTCATCTTCTTTTGATAAAAACGCAAGAAGGTAATCTTTTTGTCAGAAAGTTTTTTTTTTCCTTTTTTGGGAGAAGAGGAGGAGGAGGAGGTATAGGATCAGCGTGTCTTTGATTCGCTCTGCCTTTGAAGCTTCTCTTTGACGGTTTTCTCATCACTTTCTCCCTCTTTATTACTCAGTCACTCCTTAGTGTCGCTCCCCAAAGCAATCAACCTTTACCTTCACGCTCTCTCTCTCTTTTTTAATTTTTATTAGACTTGTTCTTTTATGTGGTCTTCGATTTGGTCTTCAATTCAAATACAAAGACAACCAGAATTGATAAGCTTGTTTGAAAACAGAGTAAACAATATTATTCTCAAATTTGGGTGAATCATGGATGGAAGTTTCTTATGTCCGATTAAATACACGGAGCACGTAAGCCTCACTAAGAAAGTGTACAAGTCCAAAAAATCATCTGCCGACCGCAAGTATCCGGTTGCTGCTCCTCCTAAGACTGTCCGGATATCCGTTACCGACCCGGATGCCACTGACTCTTCCAGCGACGAAGAAGATGATCTTTTCGGACTCGGGCGACAGCGGGTCAAGCGTTACATCACCGAAATCAGAATCGAATCACCCAATGTTACTAACACCGCCGTCACCGCTGCTCCGGCCAAGAAGAAGACTGCTGACTCCCTCCAGCCTAAGCAGAAGCCGATGAAGGTGAAGGAGCCACCAGTTCCGGCGGCGGGTACCGGTAGAAAGTTCCGGGGTGTACGGCAGAGGCCTTGGGGAAAATGGGCCGCCGAAATCAGAGACCCGGCCCGGCGGGTTCGTCTGTGGTTGGGCACTTATGACACGGCGGAGGAGGCTGCCATGGTCTACGACAACGCTGCCATTAAGCTTCGTGGGCCTGATGCTTTGACCAACTTCATCACTCCTCCGACCAAGAAAACGGAGGAAACCACCACCTCCGGGTACGACTCCGGCGAGGAGTCTCACAATCTTTCTTCCCGCGTTTCCTCCCCGACATCGGTGCTCCGATTCAGAAGCAGTACTACTCAGTCTAGCGAGGAGGCTGAGCCAACCTGCGGGTCAGAGGGTCGGGCTACGGATTCGGTGGATGAACAAACGGGTCACGAGGAGGCTGACCGTTGGCAAGAACAAGAAGAAGGCGTCGTCGGCGGCGTCCCGGAAGTGGTGGAGGAATGCCAAGATGAAACGTGTTTCATCCCAGATTACTCCAGCGAATACATGCCAATGGACATTCCCTTTTTAGACAACTTCTTCAACTTCCAATCGCCGGAGCATTTAACATTTGACGATCATACCGCCAGCGCCAAGACGGCGGCGGCGGCGGCCGACACGACGGCGACAACCTCCCCGTGTCTTACAACAGACAGCAATAACTACTTCGATGATATGATGCGTGACATGGGGTTGGACATGTCGTTTGATGATGACGTGCCGGTGCTGTTTGATGACTTGTCAAGTAGTGATGGTTTCGGGGAGTTTAATGATTCCTTCCCTGAAGATCTTGGAACAATGGAGCTCAACGTGGATGATTATTTCCAAGATTTCAACATGAACAACGATTTTGCCTGTGCCGATGCTCTTTTAGCTATCTGAAATGCTGATAATAAGTAATAATAATCATTATACTACTACTAGTAAGTTAGTAATTAATTGTATATCAACGATGAGTACTTTGCTTGTTAATCCCCTGCGTTGCCAAATTCGTTTGCGGCAAATTTTGTGCATGGGCGATTTTCCATCCAAACGTGATGTTATTACGAATTAAATTATTTCATTTGTTTTACATTAATGTTGAGAAACATGTATAAGCAGTAAGAAGCTTAAGCATTTCTCGATCTGTTAAGCAGCCTTTGTTTGATTGTAAAAACTATCTCGCGGCGGAATATAAACCTCATTTTTGTGGAATCTTTTTTCTTGTAAGAATCTCAGTTTGAAATTTCAGAATCAAATTCGAACGAGTTGAGGAGATTAGAGAGATACTACTATTGTACTCTGTGTTAGATTTTGTAGAGTAATTTCTGTACACACACGTGCTGGCGCAATTTGCGGTTGTCCAATTTGACCGAGTTCGCCGAGTCGATATCGAGTCGGTGGGTTTGGTGCTCGTGCGATACAAAGTCAATGCGTTTATTATGTTAAATCTTCCTCACCTTCCCTTTTCTTTATTTTCCTCCTCCAGATTTTTGTTTTGTACAAGGCTTAATATAAACTCATTATTGTCGTTCGAAGACCAAGCACCCCCACTTTGTGCTGAAAAGCTATAACACCGCAACAATTCAAACCAATAAAGTGGATTGGGGGCTCCCAAGTAACCAGTATTGCTTTAATTTCTTTCTTTCTTTTGCTTTCTCAACATCTTCCAATATGATCATATTATAGAGATTAATCTCACCAAAGTGGGATCAAATATTTGAGAAATGATTAAAGATGAATTTGTGACGGCATATGTAGACACTTTTTTATTCGGCTACAAGTTGTTATCTGCACGATGACCAAAAGATATCAAATTAAAAGAACTTGTGATATTAATTAAGGTGGGAAAATAACGATGATTTTCGTCTTTATGATAAAATATATCATGACATTCATTTCCGTTATAATGAACAATCAATCGAAAAAAAAAAAAAAAAACCATACTCCTATGATCTATCATGCCAATTAGATTTCAGTAATTCTATTAAAAAACAAAGACGAAATGGCTAATGATGATCATTGCTAAAAGGCAATTAAATCGGTTTCTTGGTGGAAATACTAAATATGTACATGTGATAATTGTGGGGTTGTAGTTTAGGCTTTTAGGTAGCATCTGATCTACCTCCGGCCTCCGGTATTAGGCTGATTAAGGTTGCGAGCTTTAGAGTCGACAGGTACTGCTGTTATTATTTTGTCGAGATAGAGTACGGCTGAAACTAAATGGTTATTGCACTTTTAGTGGTGGATGCAGTTGTTCATATAATTCATTTTCCCCTTCAATGCTAAAATTAAATAATTTTACCAACTTTTTTTTTAATATTCCGGTAAATATAATTCCTTTTCCCCCCTTCAATGCTAATTAAATAATTTTACCAACTTTTCAGAAGTACTACTGCTCTTAATTTCTAATTCTAGATCGGGCCAATCTCCTTTTTCATATGCTTGATTGCTTTCTGAATTCTGAAAAAAAATTCAAGCCCCACATGCATTTCTGAATTATTTCCCACCTCTCTTAATAATATCTCATTGATCGATCAGTTGTGGGCTTCTACCTTCCTAGTTTCAACCTCATTGTCACATTGTGTATGTTTCAAGAAATGAGAAAAAGAGGGGGGTTAAAATTCGCATAAATTACAATAGCATTATGTGGACACAATAAAAATGGAATAGGCAACTAGTAAACATGTACGTCTAATAAGAAAATGTCATTACACTGCCGATAAGGCCTTTTCACGGATGGAGGAAACAGGACGGTGTTAGTCCCTTTTCATACAACCTGTTCCATCCCGCGAACTAACTACTAAAATAACCAATCAACCAACTACGTACTTAACGAAATTTAACGTTTTTAACAAATAAAAAAATTTAACGTCGGAATCAATCGGATAGCTAGAGCTAAGATATTGATACTCCCTCCGGTTCATAATATAAGATATTTTGATTTATCCTAGGTTTAACCTAGTACATACTTTTAATCGAGAGAACACAACGAATGTGAAAATATATATTTATAGTTTTTTTATTAATTAAAAATATGTATTATGTGAAATCTAAGAAAAAGTAAAAATACCTTGCAATAAGGAGCGGATGGAGTATAAACCAACCTGTTCCATCCCAAGTTGAGATGACGTCGATCATGAGAGGGGCAATTAATGTTCACACGACGAGAAACCAAATGAAAAGCGTGCATGAAGTTTTGATTTGTTAAGAATTTGAGTACAGTAATTACTAGTGTGATGTTGATCCCACATTTGCGAGAATGGACTTTCCAAAGATAAAGGAGATTTGGGAGCAAATTATTCTGCATGATCACATTAGTGAATTGACATGTTTATTAATCGGGGAAGAAGAGCCAATCTTTGACTGTCCGCTTCTTTTTCCAGGTACCCGTGTTTGACTTTGGCAAGACTTCTGCGTTACGTGCCGTTGCTACTCAGATTGATACCTAGCTAGGATTTTCTTTTCTTTTAAAAATCGGTGCAAAACTTGACCTATTTTATTCTCTACAAATTCACACAATTATAGTGCAACAATGTGATGCACTTGATTTATCAAACAAATATTCTTTCTCGATTCCAACTTGGGTTAGCACACAAATCAAACAAAATAATTCGATAGATTATTTTTTTTTTCTTTAAAAGCCCTTAAAACATTAATTAATCCGCAAATAAACTTGACGGAGGGTTAATCTTCACAGCTTGATGATCCGGCGCAACGGAAACAGCAATGGACAAGAGAAAACGAACAAGAACTAAATCTGCCCCCGAGAAAAAAAAAAAAAAAGAAAGAAAAAAAGAGCTAGGGTTGGACCACTCCTGAATCCTGAGGCGCAGCCTACTCCTGTACCTGGTTTCCAACTGGCAAATTTAGGCTGGGTAACAAGGCGGGAATTCTTGATCTTCTTCTTACAGGTAACAAGTAGAGACGATTTGAAGAAGATCCTATCCGATTCACGGAAACCACTCCCAACTGCAAAATGAGACAAAATCCTCTATTATTTGACATTCATATTGTCCGAAGATTTCTCTTAAACGTCAATGTCCTATGAACACCAGACAACGATGTATATACAGGAGCTTTATAACTAGTGAATTCTTTTTATATATCGTTTGCCGCAATCAATCAAAACTACCTCTAAAAGAATATTTCATTTTAGCATAATTTATAATATCTACAATTGATTTGGGATAGAAACGGTAATTTCGAGTTTTTGCCCTAACAAGAAGATATATGTCTTATAATGACTAGAGAAGGTGATGTAGTTTAGTGATTTTCATAATCACAATTATGTTATTTGATGTCACAATAACAATACTCTTGAGGGGTTAAAAAAAAAACAAGAGAGAGAGAGAGAGGAGAAATGGCCCTGGATCAGCTAGCTAGTAGTCCCATATTATATATGGAGTATGTGCAGCAGAAGATGATGACACCACCATGCTCCTGCACGCAGTATCGGACATGCTCGAGACAGACATACCCCAGGGCATGCACGAGAAAGAGAGATAACTAATTAAATTAAAAGTCGTATATACTATGTAATAAGAATTACAGAGGAGGACCAATTTAACAACACCCACAAAAAAGTTGCATCCATTTTATGCTGCTGTCTTAACAGTTCCAAAAAGACTATAATGATTATACTGTTGCAAACCCACGGGCCACCAGATCAATCGGGATAACTTAGAGAAAAAAAATAAAAAAAAAATCTCAGTGACTCTTCAGAAATTATACTAATAATTACTTTTTAGTGAATTGCAATTTCTAGACGTTGTTTAACTGAAAAATCATGATTGTAACACACAAAATGACCCAATCGGGTAGGCCGGTAGGCAAGAGAGACTGGCAAAGAAAGATGACCAGTTTCTCTGTTAGGCTGACCGCTGGGCATAACCATTTGAGTGAAATCATCGCGTAATGATTGTATGCATGTTTCTTTTTGCATTTGTTCAATTTAATTATGTTATCTCTTCCCACTATTAATTTATAAACTTATTGAACCTTTTTTTTTTTTTCCTCCCTAATGAATCCCTCTCACGTAATATAATTATTGCGATATTTATGCAGCTAACTGGGTTCTGTTCTTCTACTACTAGTTCTTATTAGTAATCTTCTTTTCACGTGAGATGGTAATTTTATATTAGCTACGCTACTACCTACTATTCATATGCTTATAGACCTACAAGTTAGTGCAAAATTGATGTCGAGGAAGACAGTGTCTGCACCGTGGTATCTCTCTTAGGTCAAAGTAACCTAAATTATTCTAGGACATATGCATAAATAGTAGTATGTACAAAACTCTGCAAATTGGCCTGCAAACTGTTGGACAATCCCACTCCTTTTTTTTTTTTTCTTTTTTTCTAGTTATAGAAGAGAAGAGATAGCATTTCCGAATTTTATTTGGTCAACAAAGAACACCTTTTCCAGACAATTTTGGTATATTACTATTAGACAATTGTAAGTTACAAAGTCCATGTCCCACATGATATTATGAATATTAATTTCCCTTTTGTATTCATTCCTCTTGACTAATTAAAATTTAAAAGTGTCCCAAAACAAAAACTTCCAAACAAAATCTTGAAAAGAATTTTCAGAAACTATGAGATTTTTTTTGTTGGGATCATGATGAATGAAATACTAATTAAACTACCTCTACTTTTTTTTTCCTTTTTTCTTTCGGTGGTAGCTATTCGTAGTATCACTGTTTTTTTTTTTTTTTTTGGCCCCAACTATATCCAAGTGTTGAAAAGAACATTTATGATAAAGGTCAAAACTCAAAGATTTTGTAGTAGTTTGAATATATTTCTTGAATTCAATATAGTGCAGACTGCATAAGCGTAACTACATATGTTAGATGTATGTGCAGGATATGAGAGTGACCACCTGAAGCAGAAGGCACACACTTCCTGGTTGCCCCTACTCCACCTGGCTGGTCACCTGATTGAAGTGTGAAGCTCTCTCTTATATACATATATATATATATATATATATATGGCTCAATAACCACCACCACAATGGGCGGTGTCAACTGCATTATTATTGTTATATGTGTTTTGATTTTGGCGTTGTTATTAGCCTGGCGCTAGCCAGCATCAAATATTGTTACAGGCTTTTCTTCTCACAAGATAAAGGGACCTGAAAAATGAAAAGCAAAAGAGAAGTACGTGCATCAATGACTACTTACACATAAGAAGAAGAAAGTTCATTCAGTAAAACGATTTGATAACTGAAAATTAACATCGAATTTTCTTTGTACTGGTTTTGTTTATTTTGACAAATGGTATTGTTTGTTGTACTTATTTTTTTTTTTGACGCAAATGATTCTTATTTTGAGACAGAATAGGAATAAGGCTTTGCCTCTTTAATTAACCAAATAATTTTACCTAAAAATAATTTACTTTTCCTACTCTGTAATTCTACATACGTAACGTGGTCAGAGCCGACTTAGCAAAGCCTGGGAAAGAAATAAATTGGCAGGGTGACCCTCAAAGGCTCAAAACAAAAATGGGTATAAATGCGAAATAAATGAACAATGACAACACGACCTGAGGGCATCGGTTCACAATGGCTCCATCTGTTTGGAATTGGGGTCCCCACCCATGGGTGTCTGGTAAGCCTAACACACCCCCCATCGAACCGAGCTTGGTCCCCCTACTAAAAAATGCAATCTAACGTCCACGTCTCGTTGATTCTGTTTTCCGTTCTTTTGGTTCCAGGCGACTGTTACGTACGTACGTTGTAAGTACTTTGTATTGTACGTACGTAGTTTGTGTATACTTCGGGGCGTACATACGTTTCTTCATGTTGTCTACTCTTTTGCCTTTCAGGTTGTTGTTGTATTTTGAAAAAAATAGAAGCATGGCTTAGATTGTAATTTTGTCATTTAAATTCTATGTAAAAATATAAAGACTGTAACCTAGTTTTACTGGCGAGGTCGAATCTAAGGGAATCCATCCGATTGGATTTTCCACAGCAGTGCGAGGAATATTTAAATATTGGTTAGTCTGTGATATTGTTGAGACGTTATCTCCGAAAAATTTTAATCAATTTTGAGTTTCGACCTCTTATTTTGTACTCCTTTCATTCAAAAAAAAAAAAAATCACAATTCAAAATTTCAATGTGAATTTTTTTTTAAGAACAGAGGTAGTTTATTATGAATTAAACCAATAAGAAACTGAGATAGAGCTGAGGAATCTTTGACACATTTCAAAAAGCTTTAATATTAATTAAATGAATCAAATAGGGATCTAAAGTTTTGTAAAATTAGAATTAAGTAGCTAAACTTTTGTTGTTTTGAGAAATATCAGAAGGAATATAACTAGGTCGATGTTATTTGTGAATAAAATAAAGCCTCGTATCTAGTCACTTTAAGGAATACGTAGTACATATATATGAAGTACTATGCGCTTAGTATATCTCCATGGCTGTTTCGAAGAGGGGTTAAAAAAAAAAGATGGTGATAATGTATTTTAATTTTAAATTGAATTGTTCAAAAAATATTTTAAAGTAAAATTTAAACTAAGCTGTGTATAAAGCATGGCTCATGCAGTGCATGGTCAAACGCTATTGAGTATTGATCACTTGGGCACCTGCTACATACCATAAACCATCAACAGCCCGGAGGAACCGACATAATAATACTAGTATTTCTCACATTGTGAACGAAACATTAACACCGGCGGGACAAGAACGGTCCTACTCTCCCCTTTAATTCCTCGATTTAATGTCCCCCGGCTTCATCCGGATGCCACTGTTTTCTTTTTCTTTGTTTTTGTTTTTGTTTTTTTTTTTTTGAGTTTTTACTCATTTGAAGTACAAAAAAAGCTACATCATTGGGATAAAAATGGTTAGAAAGCGGGACGAAAAATGACTGACGAAGTATTTCTTGTCGATCGCAAAATCAATTTTATTAAGTGTATCAGAAAGGTTACGTGCATAAATTATACTCCATTTACAAATGAGTTGAAAGTAGGTCCTGAGATTAGGGTACATTGGTTTTGGTTAACTAGGCACCAACAAGTCAGCTCAGCTGCATTTTGTACTAATATATATTTGCATTTTTAGGCTTTTTCTTCTTACATCTAGCTTGTTTGATCGAATATCAACGGACAAGGAAGAAGAAAAGGCGGACATAAAAAGACACTGTGTTTTTGTTGTCTCAATGTGTGTCAATTTCAAACGAGTAAAATAACCCTATCCAGGTACCAACATGATCGAAGTAGTTCAATTCAATAGTGATATTAATTAATTCCAGTTACTTACATCACTATCTTTCGATATTAATAGTTTTTAAAAGTATTGGAAAGGGATTGAAGTAATTTTGACTTTACAACATTGCGACAGGCAACCTACTAGTAGCTAATACTACCTCCTTTCCAAAAAAATAGTCCACATTAAATTTTCAAATTTGTACTAAAAACAGTACAAAACTCAAAACTCAATGTTGACTATTTTTGTGGGACGGAGTGAGTACAATATTTAAAGTGCGTTGTCTTATTACTTGATACTGGTATACACAATATTTAAGAAATTAAATTCAACTCATGGGACATTTTGTTTTGTAAAAAAAAAGAAAAAGAAAAAGAAGGTGCATAATTTTAGCCTTTAAGGGTGTCCACTTCAACGAACACAAACTAAGACGATAGCGCGTTTCGCATATCAATGTTTTCCGGGCACTACATTTTGTCATCGCTATCTGACAATTTATAACATGCATAATAATATATGGACGCTACCATAATAGTAACGCTTTTGAGCTTTTTGAAGGGAAAAAAACAAGGGGGTCCAAAAAGGACTACGAAAAAGGGCAGCGGGCCAACTCAGATATCACGAATTTAGCTAGTTGTTCATTTTCTACATTCTTTTTGCCGTGAATTTTGTTGATAGGATACTTAGGCGATTAGGGAGACTTCGACTTAAGTTCCAAAGTTCCCATTCCGAGCTACCTTTCTTCAATTGCGCCATTCACACGGTTGAACTTCAAACTCTTTCCTAGTGGTCGGGTCAACTGTCAAATAGGATCCTTTTAATCTCTGCTGCCGATGTTCATCTCCGTTTGTCGTGATCTACTCCTCAATATACGTTTCAAAATATTGTACGAGTATTTTTGAACCAAAAAAATAAAATCAAATAAAAAAAATTATTCTATTTCCGGGGATGGAATCTTGTTTAATCTAATGTGACTTGGAACTCAAAGTCAAAACTCATCTTTTATTTCAATAAATCTTAACAAAAAGTCGCAGCCTTTTTTTTTTTACGATCAAGAAAGCATAAACCTACGAATTAATTTAGAACTTTCTGTGGGTAGGAAACTTTAATTGAACAGTGGTGCATAAGTCATGGTTTCACGCATAGCACTAAATCGTAGTTTCTGTTGAGATGCTAGAGTCATGGTTTCTGCGGGCATACACGTTTACTAAGAACTAAGAAATCAAACTACTGGCCATGGAGGATGATTTGCTCGGTTAAAACATTTTTCTCTGGAGAAAAATAATGTTTTAAGTTTGGCAAAACTAATCAAGAATGAAATTAACAGTTGTTTTTTTACTAAAAAAAAAAAAACACTGTCAGCATCAGTGGCACTTGATAGAATGTTGTGTATTCTTTCATTCTTGTATAGATATAGTTAGCTAGGAAATCGATTTCTTTTCATATGTCCAGCTACCGGATCTCTACTTATGTTGTAAGGCCCAAATCTTGCACTAGTCATCTAAGGACCAGAACTTGTTGCAGTCGTACTGGTCATCTGTTGAAATGTTGAGTATTGGACAAACTACTTAAGAATACGAACAGGCCCAAGTCTTGGACTTTTCGGCATAGCATTTGCGCCTTAAGCAAAACCAGTACCAAATTAGGGCAGATATTTTCAACAGAAACTTTGATTCGGGCCTCCACATTAGGCCTTTTTAATATGTTCAGTCACTCATATCACAATCCAAGATTATAGCTTTCCCTTAAGCTCCCTCCAAAAGATTTCCAACAGCAAAAACAATAAGGCGACAGCCATTTACGGTCACTCCAATAAAATGGAAGAAATCAGTCCTCAGACAGCTTTTGAAACGAAATCTGATCTATTTACACATTCCAATCATCATTAATATGAAATGTAATGGGGTGATCAACTACTCAGCAAGCTGGAAAATCAATATCAAAACCAAAGCCATGCCAAAACCTCTGTGTTTCCCTACTTAAGCAATGCAATATATCCTGTTAACTCTGCATAACATTTGCCTGAATTTTCGTGTTACGCACATGCATGCAACCCTACAATCTTTTCATAACTACCTATTAACTCACTGATTATAAACTTAACCTCTAGCAAGTAACACATCCAACTGGGAAGGCCGGCTTCTGGATGAACCCTGGTGTTGAGAAATTTTGGTCACATCTCTGTTGTACACAACTTCTGCACTCGGTGGCAGCTCCAGAATGTATTTCTCTTTCATACCAACTTGATTCAGATGTAGCAAGGCAAGCATACTAATAGCCACCAGAGCTGAATTCCCTATAACCCCACCTACATGATCCAACTTAAGGAACCTTCCAACAAAGGTAACACTAGATACGAGTGCTTTAACAAACACATTTGATCCTTTTCCTTCCTGTTCTGAGACTTTCTTACCACTTGGGGACACATCTGATGTGTTCTCAGGAGAAAGAAAGCAACTGGCATTGCGTACTTCTCCTACAAGAGCTCGAGCCTCCTCAATTACTTTACATTTCTTGCCCTGATGTTCAGCCAATCTCATTGCAAGTACAATACGACTTTGTTCCAGGCGCGCAATGGCAGCATCCCTCTCAGCCCGCTGGTGCGTTTGTATGGTCTGCAAAGCAGAACATCAGAATGAATGTTATCTTCATAAGCAATCATACAAGCACAGGTGATACAAAAGTGTTCATCTAAAGAAATTCCGGATTTCCTTAAACCTCCAAGTCACTTGGCTCTACTAAACAGCAAGGTTCCATTCAACAACATAAGCAAGTCCCTCAAAGTAAAATTCCTTTTCACCCCGCACAATGATAAGTCTGGCAAATTTATGGACCAAAAATTCGATTACAGTCCAAAGATAAATGAAAGAAAGTCGGTAAAAGAACAGTGTACTGGATAGGAAGAGAGTGCCCTGCTCAAAGGTTAGATGATTAAACATCAACAGAGTGCTGAAAGAATTCAGATCATAAAAATATGGCAAAAAATTCCTGAATGTTAGAATATACATTTGTAATACTCTATCCACTTGGCACATGCTCTACATCTTTTTAGACAACATTACGATCATTTTCCGTAAACAAGGCTATCACCTCCAACTAATCAGATTACCAACAATGATCAGATGACTACACAAGAAAATCAATATCACTAATAAAAAATAGCCAGTCATGGCACAATCGATAATCAGCTTTCACCAAAGCACATTTTCTCTTCATTCAAGATTATCAAAAAGTACAGAATAGAATCCATATCATTGCCAAAGCACATGGAACCAAGTCCATGGATGAACACCAATGCCCCAGGGATATACTCTGGCTAGGAAATCTAAGACATCCCAACATATTAGATGAGTATCACCAATTTAGCTTTATAAGGCATTCTTAAGAAAAATTTTGGCGGTAATTCTTTTGAAAATATGTGATGCATTTTGGAGAGAATGTAAGTTCTCATATGGGTTGTAACCATGTTACAGAACTGTTCAGAGAAACCGTACTCCTGATGTAGTTACAAACAAACAGAGCAGAAACCATTAACACTCGCATTTACCATTGCATAATTTACCTGCTATAAGCAACTTAGAATAAAGAACAATGACTTACTGAAAAGGTATAATTCCACACAAGCCTTTCACATAAACCAAAATGCCGTGGCAAACACCGAATGTCTGTGTAAAACTGTAACTAAGCCGAAGGATACCATTCCTGGCACAAACCAGAAAAGCAACATATAGCTATGCAAAAGCAAAGGAAAAGGAAACTCAATACAGAAGACTGTTAAACCACACCAATAAGGAAGAAATTATCCACAAAAATTGGTAGTTCTTACAAGAGAGTGGTGCGGACATCCTCATACTCACAACACATTAATTAACACACTCAAGATCATCAAGTAGGCAATTTACCCAGTAAATTTTGATGTGCCTAAAGAACAATCAGAGACACCCAGCTAGAATATGTGAGCACTATGCACACAGGTGTAACACAACCCAAAAAACCATAAACACTGTTGCTTACACTTTTACAAACACACACAAAATAAACACTGATAAATCCAAAATAGAAAACAAAACATTTATATAGTACCAAAATCAACTCAAAGACCAAATAACAGGCAAACAATGGAGCATCAACAGTATAACGCCAAGTTCTACAACCGAATTATCACCAGGGAAAAATTACCGAAATTTTAAGACTTACATGGAAGAATTCAAGTTGGTCCTCGAGATTTTCAAGGGCCGTACGGATGGAGTTGAGGCTCTTGGCTTCCTGAATCGCGGCGGAGTCATCGGCGTCGGAGCCAGCAGTAAAATCCTTGAAGTAGACAAACCCGTTAGCATCCGGAGATTTCTTCATTGGATGTCGGAAGGCGTCGGCGTTGTTGGATTTGAGATTGTGGGATTTAACAGAACTCAAGAAATGGGCACGGGAAATGGAGTGAATGGCATCGCTGAGCTTGTCGTGTAAGTCCCAAATTTTCTCCAGCACAGCTTCGATCTCCTCCACCTCCATCGCCCATTTCATCGGGAAATAATTAATTGATTAAATTTATGGAATAAAAAAGGAAAGCAAAACAGGTGGAGTTGATATAAAAGGAGATAAATCAAAATGGAGGAAGGATTCCAAACTTGTGGGTTGGGGGAAATGGGAAGAAAAAAACAGAAAAGTTGTATTCTTAGGGTTCGGAGGAATCGCTGTCTGGGCGATGATGAGTGATTCTGGTGAGAGTGCAGGGGGCCGTGGCGGTGGGTCCTTTCTTGTTGTGTTTTTTTTTCTTTCTTTTTTTGCCTTTTTCTTAGTACTAGTATTATTTTTTAGTAAGTTTGTTCTTAACTTTCCCTCTCTGCTCTCACGACTATCAAAGTCAGTAGATAATACAAGATTTTTTAAAAAAATTTAATTTTGGAGAAAAACAATAACGTAAAGGGATTGCGACAAATTCAAGGCACTGTTTGGGCTACAAAGACGCATGCCAATTTGGCGGGAATCCGTCTGGGCGACATCTGGAATAGTGGAATTCACGACTCATCGCGCCATCATCACAATTTATTTATTGGGTCCCAACTCCCAATTCCTTCCTCAGGTTGTTAATTTCGCTACTCTCCTTCCCTCCTCTCTTTTTCTTTTAAACATTTTTTCCCCTATTAAGTCGTTAAACCAGTGTACATAGCTTTTTTTTTGGCAAGAAGCAACTCAATTGTCGCATTAAATCAACATCGATGTGATACATCATAAGCCCGAGCCCGGTGATGGGGATGACTAACCCTATTACTACTTTCCTTTGAAATTTTAAGCATATGAATGTACTGTTCTAGGGGATGTCAGATCGGGCGATTTGAACGGTTCGGGTGATAATCGATTTGGGTTAATCGGATTTTTCTTCTCAGAAGAATCGCCCGAAACCGAATCGCACAATAATTTTCACTGAGCCGAGCCTAGTCGAATAAGCAATCAGTTTTTCGATTCGGTGCCCGTTTCAACCGAATCAAGAATCACAGAAACGCAGAACTTCGGGTTTCAGATTTCATAAGTTTCCAGTAGCGTTCAGTTTTTTCAAACAATCATCCTCCACTAAAAACATGTTTTATCAGCACAAAGCCAACCAATTAAACCGAAAACAACAAAATAAAGTTGCAGCAAAAACTCCAGAAACCAAAAAGGAGAAAAATTATACACGAAAACAAACTTTGCAAAAACATTCAATCGAGCATCGATATCATCAATTTCTTCTTCTTTCAGAAGAATAAGGATTTAGGCTTCGATGTTTTCAGTGTTTCTGTCACGGATCTGGAACTAAAAACGTCGGTCAACCACCAGATCTGGAACTGAAAGAGGAAAGCACCATTTTTTTTGGGAGATGGTCAGATTGGGTGGTTGGTTGTTAATGGGGGAGATCTAGTTAGGGGGGTGGCCGGATTGGAGGGAAAGATTCACCGGATTGTGAAGGTTGGAGTTGGAAGGAAAAGGGGCGGCCGCCTCACTCTTTCTACGCAGCAGCAGCCAAAAAAAAAAAAAAGGATGGTGATAATGAAGAATGGGTGAGTGAGTCGTGAGGAGAGAGGGAGAGAAGGAATGAGGCGCAGGAGAGGTGCGTGCGTGCAGCATCAACCAAAAAAAAATGATGGTGATGGTAAGTGAGGCGTGAGGAAGAGGGAGAGAAGGAATGAAGCGCAGCAGCAGCAGAAAAGAAAAGTGAAGGATAGAAAAAAAAATAAACCTCAGAACAAGTTAGTCCTAAATTAGTGGGTATTTATATTTTTTTAAAAAAATAAAATTAAATAATAATTTAATCGGGTTTTGAGCGGTCCCCGAAATTTTTTTTCCCATCCACACCCGCACCAAATTTCTCTGGTTCTTCAGGTGCACCCGCAATCGCCCCGATTTAACCCGATTATTCGAACCGTTCAATTTGAATCGGGTTCGGTTCAGACGGATTTTCGGATTCACCCGATTAACTGACCAAGATTTTGTATGGTTTTGGAGGAAACCTCGGCTCCACATATGATTTTGTTTTGTTTTGTTTTTTCTTGGGGGGCGGGGGTTCTAAGGGTCAAACAGAGGGATCTCCCGTTAATAAGAAATTAATACTTAATAGGCAATAGGGTCGACTCGTTAAGTTTTGAACATTTTGTTAAATAGATTAAAATTGGTGAAAATCCTTTTTAGGTAATTAATTTTGTTCAGTGAAAGTTTTAGGTGACTCGGTCACACTATCCCTCAAATTTTGGGGACCAAAAGTGAATTTTTTCCTTGGAAATATACACTTGAGGTTTTGGCTAGTTTTCTGATAGGCAATAAGTTATGTTTGAAACTTGGAAAGTATAAGGAGGATGTCAAAGTAATAGTTTATGAAAGATTAACATCAGCATAATGACTCACATGTTTTACACTAGCATTAGGCACCCAAATAGGAGTGAAGGACTCAGAAGGTTTTAGATTATGCATTAAAGCAAGGTTTGTGCACATATGACCTGTGGCACCTGTCTATCGTCTAGGCATTTGGACTAATATCATTATAAAAACAAGAACTAAGTTGAGAGTAAGTAGTGTTACCTTGCCTTTGTTGATCCTTTTAACCTCCTTTTGTACAACATTGTTGAACATCTGTTGATACGTACTAGCTTGATATGTACTGAAGTCCAGGGGTGTATGGTTCAGGCTGCTAGTTCTAGTTCCACGTGGAAAAGTCAAGCTCATACTATCAATTCCTTGTTGGCAACATGCGTTGTTTAGTGCACTTCCCTGGATATAACCCACCATTGGACCATAAGTATCCTGTGAAGGATCAACCATGTTTGCCACACTAAAATTTTGCCCTCTCTTCTTAGTGTTAGGCCACAAATCAAGATATCCTTTGAGCCTAAAAACAATCCCCAACCAAATGTCCAGTTCTAAAGCAATATGTACATTTTGTGTGACTTTTGTCCACCTTTTCATGCCTTGTGGCTTTACCATTCGTATCCATATTTTAATTTATTGCCTTAGCCATCATTACTGCATTCTCTGTACCTTGCATCACCATATTTGGCGCCTTTATCATCTCAGTTGGAACCTGTCATAGCACAGTTTTTTGTGCTTGCAGCAATATGAATACTAATTTGTTTAGCCTTTTCAGAAGTAGTCACCGTGTTGCAAACCTTATCAACCGATGGCATAGAATTCATGAACAATATTTGACTTCTTTCTGACTCATAAACATCATTAAGCCCCATAAAAAATTCCATTACACGATCCTCATTATCTCGGTTCACAATTAGTTCTCCATCTGCTCCTTCTACATAAAATAGGCCTCAGCTCCAAATTTATTTTATCTTGCCAAAATACTCACAAACAGTTATATTTCTTTGTCTTAGAAGAGCATTTTGTCGCTTCAATTCAAACAAATGTGGCAAATTTGTAGTTCTGCAATGTTGTTCTACACTCTTCCATAATTTGCTTGCCTCCACTGAAAAATGGTCGGAGAATTTTTCGCCAGCATGGGGAAACTTCCGTCAATGAATCCGACCTTCATCTTAGCTTCCAAAGCAGATACAATAGCACACCCCTGAATCAGAGAGTTTTTTTTTTTTTTGTCAAAAGCACCAAAACCAGTTGCATTCCTGGATCCTCCGATCCATGAACATTTAGTTGTTCCTCGACCAAAGAATAAGCTCCTCTTCATTCATATTTTTCTTCCATCTTGAATTTGTAAATGTTCTTATTTCTAGTAACAGATAACCTTGATTTTATAGAGAAGAAGAAACAAAAGAAAAGAAACCGGCGGGCTCTAATACCATATCAAATTTATAGAAATCAAGCACGAGGAAGAATATTTGATTTAAAGAAGGAAAGAAAAGAAATAAAGAACTATTTCTGTGTAGCTTCTTGAAGAAGAAAACTTTTCTATATATATTCTATTTTCTCGTATATGCATTTTGTGCAAGTATATTACCTTATATAGTTGATCTATGCTATGTATACTGCAATTTATAAAAGTAAATAAACACACAGTGTATCATCTAGTGGTTGTGAATTACGGTACTTTGTACTGATCGGAAGGATCTCTTTACAAAAAAACCTCCTCCATTTGTTCGCCGGGATGAGTGCATCGAAGGAATGATGTCATATAGAGTTGCATAAGAAGATGTCGTTTCATTTGCCATACATGCAGCAACCTGGAAGCTTCTGGTGCCTTGATCATTGACTTCTGCTCTTTGACCTGATAATTTCAACATCATCATCTTTGCTAACATGGGTTATGTGAATACCATTCGTTGTGGATTAATCCTTTTGTCGGATATTTTAGTTAAATTTGTAAAAAGACTTAGGAAACCACCGAAGTTAAGCTCGTGAACAACGTATTAGGACTGTTGATTAACAAAGAGGAGTCTTCATGACAACTTGGTTCCCTTAATTTCTACAGCCAGATTGACAACGTTCCTAGCTCTTTGGTGGGAGGTTATCGGCGCCTAAGTCATTCGTCCATGACGTTTGTGCACCTCCTCAAAGAATATAATTAAGTTTGTTACTTTGCACCTGTATGAATTTAGCAAAGTAATGTGTATAGAAATAAATTCGGGTCAAGGGTGTAATTTTGTACATATTGGCTTGAATTTTAGCTCGAATAACTTCAACTCAAATTGAGTTCATGTTCATTCCAATAGTTTAATGTTGGAATTTTGGTATATCATGAATTTCATGAACTAAATCTCGACAGCAAAAACACTATAAAGAGTTTAAAAAATGTTTTAGAAGTTACCTTATTTTCACGATGACTAAACATTAGAAGAAGTTCAACGAATTCAATATGATTGTACCAAAACATCCAAAGAATACCATAACAGAAATGTTTTTCATACTTTTTGATGTTTTTTCATGGAAATGGACAATCACATTTCTCATTCAAACTAGAATTATCGGGACAAAAATCATTATTGGCATTATTACACTGATAGGAGTCTCCTGTCATCAAACTGGAGTAGTAACAGTTGATAAAAAAATCAGCTTTTAACTCCTGGAATCGACGATCCTCTAACAATCTTCGCCATGTCACGTAAGCAACACGGTGCTTTCCGAGGGCTGCTTGTCTGTAATTACGGCAGTTTGGCCCGACAAACATTTGATTTCTACTATATAAGCATTTTTGAGAGCGAACAACTGGTTTCTTATCACCACACCATTAAACCCGTGGAAGGTGACAGCTTCTTGGGCAGGTTGGTCGGATCCGACCCACTGAATGGGCTGGTTTGTTTCTTTGTCCGGGAGCGGTCCTTCTTGCACAATATCGCCACACGAGAGATCCTACCTCTTCCTGATTCTTCCAAGGATTATGTTTTGGGTAGCAGGTACTATCTTGGTTTTGATACGGGCCGCAAATTGTATTAAGTACTGAAGTTATCTGAATGTAAAGGTGAAGGTACTTGCACTATTGAGATTCTCACACTGGGAGAGCGGCAGTCTCCCTTGTCGTGGAGAATGCTTAATTGTCCTTCTCCTAACTCGAATTTTTTGACAGCCAGCTCGGGAGGGTATTATGATGGGATTCGATACTGGTATACTGAGTATTTTCAGATCATTGCTTTTGATTTTTGTGCTGAAAGATTTCCCAGCACCAGATCAGCTGCGGGCTTCGTCATTGTTGCCCTATGCACCTTGTCTGTCGTTTTCACTTAATGGAAGTAATGGCCAGAGAATCGTTTCTTATGAAGACAATGTTATAGGCGACAGCGGCTTAACAGCGGTACCATCAACTGATCTTCAATTTGAATTTCCTAGACACGAAAAGATTGTTATCTTAGGCATTCTTCCTGAAGGAAAGGTGTTGATGGGAGACTTGGAGTTGGATTCGGATTTCCCTGGGAAGCTTTTTCTCTATGTTTATGATCCCTCCAAGAGGGAAAGAGAGACACTGGTAATTCCAAAGCCCGCGAAATTGATCAAGATGAAAAGTGGGTGCCTAGCTCTTTGGTACTTCAGGGAAGAACGTTTTATTTTGAAGAGAACTTCATTTCACTGAGGTCATTGATCTCTTAACAGAATATCATATTCTCTCTGTATTAAGACAAATGGCCAGCGTAAAATTTTGGGAGGGTTTAATTTCATTATCCATGCTTAGGCTCTTCTAATGTCCGTTGTAGAAGTATTTTTTGCTTTTTCATTCAGTATTCTTCTGAATATTGAGGTGCTTACTTATGAACTAAAAGGGGGGTGTTCTTAATTACTCCTAAACAATGGTAGTGAGTTAGTTTGGTATCCTATGGTTCTGTTATTTCCAATTTCGAAGATATTGCCCAGCTACTTCCATATTTTAAGAGTTGTGTTATCTTTTCTATTTTCTTATATGTTTGTCGTGGAATGACTACTTGAACTGTTATATTTTGCCCTCAGAAAATTTTATACGGACACAAAAGAACTTGAATCCAAAATGCATGATTTTCATAAGATGATGCTTGCTGCAGTTTTTCTTATGCAATGTTCATAGTGCTAATGTTTTTTTTTTCTGCCCACCCTCATCTAAAGCTGAATATATATATATATATATATATATTCGACCACTGAGTGATTAGAAAAACGTTTAAAAGAGATTGTAAAAGCTCAACCTGACGGTTAAGCAAATGCCGATAGGATATACACAACGCAGCGCTTCTTCCTTCTTATTATCGCATCCTGCGACCCTTTTGCTGCCGTTTTATCGTAAGGTTGGCTCCCCTTGTACACATAGTTACATGTACGTCTTTCATATTGGGGAAATGGAAAAGGGACTTTGTTTTAGTGCCAGCCAAATGCCAAGCATTACTGGGAGTGTAGATTTTTCCTATTTTCTAGTGATGATGATATTCTGCTGACCTCCCTGTATTTTTTCTTACCATTTAAATTTGTGGTGTTCAGAAAAAATCAAATTTAGAATGCAGTGCAATTTTAGACCAGTTTTTATGTGGTTTTGCATTTCTTTAAAGCTTTGCGTGGACAAATAGACCTTGTTCACGACCACTAGACAAATTTGATAAGGTGAGCACATTTTAAATTCCAAAAGCAGCACATAAATATACACAAGATTACATCGACTTGAAAAGGTTTCTACTCTGGAAGTGATGGGATGAATGCGACTAAAGACAATTAAAAGAAAAAATAGTGTCGTCTCTTTCATTATTGTGTAATAATATTAGTCTCTCATTTCTATTCTTTATTCTTTTTTGGCCAATACAGATTTTTATTTGTTCATTTTGAACATATTAATGACCAGTCTGGTGGCTAACTTCTTTTTTTGAGGTGATTTTTTGTAATAAAATATTATTTCTTTTGTTAGTTACACACTAATATTAAGCTAGGGCAACGGTTTCATAACAAGATATTATTATTTTCAAATACTTTGTTTTTTTATTTAACTGGCTTGAAACATCGTAGGCTGCCCGAATATTGGTCTCCACCAAACATCTAGTTATATTTATAAAGAATGATACTGTAACTGAATAATTAAGGGTGGTGACTTTTTTCCTTAACAAAAATGCTAAAACTATAAGAAAGTTTATAGCATTATACAATATTCAAAATACAACAGTATGAACCTATTGTCCACATTGAGTTTTATATTCTACTAAAATTAGTTCAAAATCTCAAAAATCAAAACTCAATCTTGACTGTTTTTTTCGAGAGAAGTAATGTTTGTTATTAGTGGTTGATAAAATAGAGTTTGTATATAGATTCCAAATAGAGATTCTAATTTATTTTTATTTTGGTAGTAAATACAAACTGTTGTTTCCATTATGAGTAACCTTAATTAAAATTTAGGTCCATTTTATTTAATTTTGAGAGAATCATATTCCAGCTCGAATTTCGAGGTGGCCCAGTTACAGCCCTAAACTCCAGAGAGTTCCATGCCCAAAGATTTTCTGGGCTCAACCAGGTTTCTCTCCCTCTACTGTTGGTAAAATATTTTTGCAAAACTCGGTCTGTCCTCTTCTCCAAGCAACTTGGAAAAAATTGGAAGTTTGGAACCCTTCCACGTTGCTCGAGCTCCATGATCACAGCCCCACAACTTCACTACCGCTGAAATCAAAGGTTCTCCCTTCCTCTGTTTCTCGTTTTTAACTTCGTCTTCAAAATTGCTCCCCCTTTTTTTTTTTTTTTTTTGGTTGGTTAAATAAGTTTATATTTAGGGCACATACTTTTCAGCATAAAAGCAGGGATTTTTTTGCCCCTCTTTTTGGGTTTCATTAGGTTTGATTTGGTGCTTAAATAACTGTTGTATTTAATATTTCTGCGAGAAATTTGTATTAACAATCATGGGGCGTATGATTTGTAAGCTAATTCATTGTTTTTCTTTATCTCAAAATTTTAATTTTTTTTTCTAATTATTTTTAATGGAATGCTTGTTAATTTGTAGGTCCTTCGATCTTTGATTCAGTGAAGGTTGGGAAATTATTTTTGCGGGAGGAAAGAAGGGGAAATTAGGAGGAGATGGCAGACGAACTGAAGGACAGAAATATTACACCATGGACGGATACGGCCGAGCAATCCTCCACAAGGATCTCGGAAATTGACAATAGCGTTTCCTTGATGTCGGAATCGATGGTGATTTTGGAAGGGGTTGAACCGTCTCATCCTCAGCAACATGGAGCTGAGCCCCCTGTTGCGGGCTCTAACGGCCAACTTCGCTTCCCTGAAACCGTTTTTGCTGCTGCCGGATCAGCATTTTTATCCGCCATCATTGTTAATCCTCTTGATGTTGTCAAGGTACCAAATTATCCTATACAGAACAGTCTTGTGAACTTTTTTATCTCTCACTTATCAGTTAACGTCTATGTTGTGCTGGAATGTGAACTTGTGAACATATTTATTACCAAAGTAGGCCTTTCGTCTATCATTAGTAGCTTAGAACACACAAGCTTTACTTTCAATGTCATTGTCGTTGATAGTTTGGTTTCTCGTGGTTCATTTTTGTTTTGCTGGTTTCTCTTGGTTGTTAAGTTTCTGTTACCTTAAAAGGTAATGTCAAAATTTGGAGATAGTCATGGAAAATGTAGAATCTAGCTGTTGCTTACTAGTTTCTGTTTGCGAGCTATCTGCCGATACTTGATGGCTGAAGTTATGTTAAAGGTTATCTCCTTTTCTTTTGACTTTACAGACAAGATTGCAAGCACAGGCTGCTGGGAATGCATACTCACATCCACTGAGTAACCTTACAAGTCGAATGGCAGTTTTTGGACCAAACATGGTACTACTCATTTGCCCTCTTGTGTTAGTTTAAACCACACATACACGACAGTGGTGACTCTAGCAGTTCCTTGAATTATGCTTTTATTCTCCCGTTCTTATGTTTATCCCCCTCTTAGTGCTGATAAACAGTTAAGTTGAGATGTACTCTGGATTAGTCTATACTGCAGTATGACTGTATTTCTCGTCAATTAGTTTCTACTGGTTACCACCTTGATGTTAACAAGTTTGGTTTCTTGTCTTCCTGAGTTGGCATTCCTTGTTTGATTTGTAATTTTTTTCAAAATAAAAATTTATGCAGATGTTCGCTGATTTGAGGTGTTCTCCTTCATGTACGCGTGCTGGTGTCCATGGCACAGTCGCCCTATGTCCTCCTGATTGCTTCCAGTATAAGGGGACCCTAGATGTGTTTTACAAAATTGTTCGCCAGGTTTGTTGTTTTCCATGGCCAAGTTCTCAGTGGAAGTTAAATTCAGAGGAGACCTCATTGTATCTCGGAACTTCCTCTCCTTAAAGCCTCTTAAGTGCCATAATTGTCAAACAGTAACAACAAAGATAGCTTTGTGTGCCATTAGATTATTTGGTTTTCCATATTTCAGAGTCTCTAAGATAGGAGTTTTGCAGGAGGGAATAGCAAGGCTGTGGAGAGGTACAAATGCTGGATTAGCATTGGCTATACCAACTGTGAGTAGCTTTGTTTCTCGGGTTGTTCTAAATGAATGTTCTGTTTTTGGTGTGCATGACCTTGCGTTTCTTATCGTTGTAAATTATTAAGAACGGTCAATGTTTTGACAGGTTGGAATCTATCTTCCTTGCTATGACATTTTCCGCGATCGATTAGAAGAGTTCACTGCACAGAACACTCCTTACCTTACACCCTACGCACCTTTTGTGGCTGGTGCTCTGGCACGTTCATTAGCTTGCATAAGTTGTTACCCTATAGAACTTGCAAGAACCCGCATGCAGGTATTTGGTGTTTTTATATTTCAATATTTTGTTTGTTTCCTTTCTTGCTATTGGTTTGGTATTGGCTGCACAAGGAGGAAACGTTTGTTACTCCTCTATTTAGTGAATTGTTTTCTATTTTATATGTGAGTAGACTTATCCTTTTACATTTTATTTTTTGTATTGTTGTGTTATGGTATACCCGTCTTTTATCTTTTATCTATAACTCTTGTGTTGATTGGCATGGTGAATGCAGGCTTTCAAGGATGCTAAGAAGGCTCCTGGTGTTTTCAGGACGTTAATCGAGATCGTATCCAGTATCAAGGTTACAACTAATAGTCAAAGCTGTAAGTTGATTTTTTCCTTGAAATTCTTAGGGAGGATGGTCTCTTTTATCTATTTTATGCTCCATCTGGATGTCATTGTGAGGTGTGAACTGTGAAATGTCCTTCATGTAAGCTTTGCAGGAAGCCAGTTTAGTTCCAGTTAAGTACACTGGGGTGGTTTTGGTTGTTCGTAAATCATGATGATTAATTCTTTGTGGCATCTGAAATCTGAATTTATTTGACGCCATTATAAAATCCGAGTGATCTTTACTTCTGTGAGGAAAAGTGAGAAGAGTTTGATGTTTTATTCTCAGAAAATAATGTGAACTTTTCTTGGATTCCTGATTATTAGTGCCATGATGACTATGAAAGGTTTCATACGAGATGATAGGAGATCTGTTATTATCAACAATTGTGCTTGCTTTTAGTTGCTTTTAAGAGATTGAAATTATTCCCCCCTCCCTACGGAATTTTGTATTCTCTTGCAGTGCAAAACTACCGTGTATTATGGACTGGCCTTAGTGCACAGCTTGCACGTGATGTCCCTTACTCTGCAATTTGTTGGTCGACTCTTGAGCCAGTGAGATATCTTCCTTGTTCTCTTCTACTTTTGAACTTGCATGTATCCTTGGTGCTTTAGTGGCTACTGCAAATGTTTGGAGGAATTAAATGTCCATATGACGTAAACAGGTTAGAAGGAGGCTGCGTGGTTTGGTTGGAAATGAGGAGCATGTTGCTAGTGTCCTCGCGGCAAATTTCTCAGCTGGGTTTGTGGCAGGAAGTGTTGCTGCAGCTGCCACATGTCCACTTGATGTTGCAAAAACACGAAGGCAAATTGAGGTACACCTACACTGCTAGGATGCATGGAAATTTTGTTATTATTTTGTTTATTAGGATTCAGGGGAAAAGTAATTTAATTAACTGGTAGAGGTTGCATTGGTCATTAGTTATAGCTACTTCATGCTTAATAATGCTGCAAAATATCTTCAGACTTCAGTTACCAATTGGTGGTGCCATGAATATGAGTTTTTAGGTGTCTTGAGGGGAGGGAATATTTCGCTAACAATATCTGAAAAGATATATGATACATTAGGTTGGTTTACTAAGTTGAGTGGTTTTTATGTGCATTTTTTTTTTTAATTTAAAAAACATTTTCGTATTATTAATGGTTGTCCAAGTTGTGGTTCTTTGGAAGTTTGAAGTAGCTAAGTATGGTTTCTTGAACAATGATTCCTTTGACTTGAGCACTCAATCAATAGTAAGGATATTTTTCCCGTGGTGGTTCTGTGTTTCCCTGGGTTTGTAATCATTGACACCTCATTGAGTGCCTGATTGCTAATATTTGTACCGTAATTATTAAATTGTGACTCCTTTTATTACAGAAGGATCCTCTGAGGGCTCTGAGAATGACCACTAGGCAAACACTCGTTGAAATTTGGAGGTATGTACTAGTTGTAACTCGACAACTGACAAGTACTTCATTTGGGTTATCTAGCTGATAATTTCAGTGTACCAGCATGTACTTCAGAATTAGTGTATGTCTTTAATGAAAGCTGCTTAACCGATATAAATGTTTCTGCAAAATTGGTGTCTGAATTGGTATCTTTCTGATAAAACAGGGATGGTGGGATGAGAGGACTTTTTACAGGTGTAGGTCCTCGTGTTGCTCGAGCTGGTCCTTCAGTTGGGATCGTGGTTTCGTTTTATGAGGTAGTGAAGTATGTGCTCCATCGGCATTATGGAAATAGATTAGATTAGGCGTACATTATCCTCTGATATCTTTGCGGCTAGATGCGATAGGCGGTAGGTGACTGAATAACCCAGACGTAGAAGGATGAGCAATTTTGTTAATGTTATATCAGCTGATGGGCAAGTGCCATTAGGATGTCTGATTCATCCCTCTGAAAGAAAATTTTGCAGTGGACATTGATAGTTTGATACTGAGCTTACTCCGAGTCATTACTTCATCTGAGTCTTTCCATGAGGAATTTTTGGGATGCTAGATTAAAAGTTTTCAATTCTAAAGTAGAAAAAACTGACCGTACTACTTTTTGGCAATATAAATAGTTGGAGCATAAAATGCTGCCTCATTACTACTTATTGGGAAATATATAAATATAGATAAAATGCATTGTTTGTTGCTTTGATAGAGTATCACATAATTAAACTGAAAAATTTGTTTCTAATAACTAAATTCAGTTATTGTTTCTAATGTACTTTTTCTGTTCTGAAAAATAATTTAAATTATAATTTTCTAATTGTAATATTATTTATATATTGCAAAAATTATAAATATAAACCATTTTTTCTTTTAATTTTAACCGAGGGGAGTATAATATAGTTTGCTGGGTTTGATAGCGGGTCATCACTGAATATTGTGCAACTGCCAGTAAGATATAATGTCCCCCGCAGCCAATCCGCATTTCATTCCTCTTCAGATGATTCGAATCCTATACTTGTTTTACTTGTTTAGATAATTTGGTTAACTCACTTCTCACAAAAGATTTAGCCAACATTTGATCATCAAGTTCTTATCTCTAATTTTAACTCTAGCTAAGGAGATTAATAGGCCTAAATTAGAGTTTAATTGTTTGGGCTCTAGGAAGAAGATATAAACAAGTATTAATAATGTGGATTATTTTTATACGATAGAAGGAGTGTACCTCTACCGAGCCGTTCAATTATACCATGCTAATACCATTATTTTTTCTTCTGCAGTTGATGTTTCTCGATTTAGCAGAATTTCCGAGAATTTGAGAGAACCAAAGTTTTTTTTTAATGTTCGAATCAATTAAACCTGGTGAAACATTTTTCTTTTTTTTTTTTAATTTTATTTAAAGAACATGCAATTAAAGAAACTCTCCTACGCCTGCTTTTCTATTTAATTGTTTGTTTGACCAGTTAGATCTTCTAGTGTGTTGAGAAGAAAATGGCAAAAATAGATAGCCAGATCAAGTCAGGCAGAAAAAACGTGCATTATCATAATTTATCATCTCCAATGTATGATTGAAAGGAACATTCACCCACCAAATTGCCTGTTTTCCCCATAATTTATTTGGGATTTCTCATGCGATTGGCAACAACATGCAGCGCAATTATCTCACCAAAACCAAACACAAACACAAGAAGCAAATTCCAAATTAAGAGATATGAAGCTTTCCCCATAAAAAGAAAAAAGAATCATCTTGCGAATTAAAAAAAAAATAAAACAAAACAAAACAAGAAGACTAAAACGAAAAAGAAGAAGAAAGAAAACCTTTACAAGCCAGTATCCATTAAAATCAAATCTGAACTAATCTCATTAGGATCAAATGCAAAGTATTCACCAATCTAACCCGTCCACAATTGCTAAGGGAAAGAAAAAAGAAAAATGAAAGAAGAAGAAGAAGAAGAAAGCAACCATTTTTTTTAATTTTTTTTTACTGTTGGGTCGCAAATTGATGGGGGGAAAAAAATAATGGACATTTCCTTCTCCCAATTAGGTTGGAACCTTTTGAAGTCTCTTCACACGATGTGATTTGGGGATGAGAATAAAATGATGTTGATGATGGTGACCGAGACCCAGAATCTAGTGAATGATGTATGTCAAGATCAAAGCCAAGAGCATCAGAACGTAAGCAATTCCCTGATCTATCGATGTACCTGACCAGAATCCAATTACATTTCATCAGTTTCGACCTTAATAATAAATTGATCGATCCAATCATCCAAAACCCAGATCAATTAAAGGGATAATCAAGAAACACAGAATTAAAAAAAAAATTTACCATCACTGGTGGGTGCAGGAGCCGGGGCGGGAACGGAGAAATCGACTTTAGCAACGGCAGCCGGGAAAGCGGCGGCGAACATGACAAAAACAGCAGCCACCATAGCGATTGTAGCCCTCGAGATCACCTCCATTGTGGCCTGGTATACAAATGAAGCCCAGATTTGGTGGCCTGTTTCTCTCCTTTGGGGTGATTTTTGGAGGAGAGAAAAATGGAGGTGATCTGGGATTGAATGAATTCTATCCCCCCCTCTGCGAACAGATTTTCCTCTATTCTTTTTTATTTTGGGTTATCTTTCTCGAAAGAAAGCCGCAGAGTGGGAAACAGAGAGGAGGGGATGGAGGAGTATATGTAGAGACGTAGAAGTAGAAGAAAGCGGATTTGAATGCGAGGTTTGGGAGGAATAATCCAAAATTTGTGAGGCTGTGATTCTGTTGGTCTGATATTAGTAATGGGGAGGAATTTGGAGGAGACAGAGAGGATGACAGAGATGAAGAGTTGGCGGTCACCCACGTTCAATTTTTGTAATTTCCCCTTTCTCGATTGCTTGATTTTTAGTGTGTGAGTGTGTGTTTTGGTTTGGTTGTGGGGGCCAGTAGATTCACCCCGCAGTATCAGTTTTGCCCCGCCATGTGACCGTTGGAAATTACTGCTTTCTAAGATCTTTCTCTCTCCTACTCAGATCCTCATTATAGAGTCCTCCCGCCGTTGAGAGACGACATACGGGGATGCGATCATGCACTGGTTTAGGTTGTCCTTCTAGATACTTTTTTTTTTTTTTTTGTTTAAAAAAATAGAATAAAATTTCCCCCTTTTTCTTTTTCGTTCCTTCTATCTTTCGTTACAAAATATGATACGTTATGGCATGAGTATGGTTAATAATCTTAAAGCATTTTGAATCACAAATTTGATTTACGTCGAAATCATCATTTCAAGTTTTGGATTATTTAATTACAATTTCTAGTTTGCTATTCGTTTAAAGTGGTCTTTGCGATATTCATCAACCAATTGTCTATAATAATTACATAATTTCTCGCTTCCTCTGTGAAATTAGTGATAGGAGATATGGTGCACATGTCCAAATATGTACCTTTGACCTCTTAACCCCAGTTGTTATATCCCAATTTCAATCTGCAAATTCGAAAATCCGAATCAACAACACAACCAACTGCAACTCCGAAACAACGAAAGACGCATTGCTATAAACTGCACTAAATCAACAAACGAGGCATTGCTTAAACCAAACCATTAATTACTAACTAGTACTAATAACACTATTGAGCCTTCAGCATTGGCATAACATATTCTGTTTGGAGGATATGGAGTGAGTTGGAGTCTGAGCGAGGCCGCCAATATGGATCTTTGCCGCTGCAATATAATTTGAACAACTGAGTTGCATACTTGAGTGCCAACCGCCTACACCCATCAATGCCTTTCCCATCATACTGGATTCTTGCTCAGATTTACTCAAATCACCTTCAGGATCTCCAGTATGCGGGACATGGAGATTTTCTATGTTTAGATTCTTAAGGGGCCATGTTTGAATTTGGCAGTTACAGATCTGGTCATATGGATGCTCAGAGAAATCCTCTACAATTCGTTTAGGGTGATGATAAGAGCTCTGTTGGTTTTGATGTAAAAAAAATGATTAGTTCTTTATTTGTTGTGGTTTTATGTATTCATGTCCTCAAGTTTGGATTGAAATGTTGTGAATTGTTATATGGTTTGAGATCTTAGGGTTGTATCTTTTCGCGGGTTGATGGTGGATATGATTTTTAAATTGCTATAAAAGGTCAAGGTTTCTTGCCCAGCCTTCCTTCACAAATTTTTGTCATTTATGCTCCATGTTTTCTAGAATATCCACCGTTGTTAATGGGGGGCAACGTAGGATGCATTCCTAATTTACAAGTTCTTATCTCAATAATATTTACATTTGCCAGAAAGTATAGACTTGTCTCTCTACTTAAAATATTTGGTTTGCAGCATAGTTTAAAGAAAATGTGATTACTGAGTTTGAGAAAGAGCATACAGAAAGCTGGGTCTGTGCTCATCTCAGAAATGGTCCTTCCGCTTGTGCTGAGCGGAATAAGAAGTTGTTTTATTAGCAGTTCTAGGGAGAAAAAGATATATTGCTACCTTTGAGTTGCGCAAACGTGGGTTGATTAAAGGTATTCGATATATTGCCACATTTTTACCTGGTTAATTAATTGGCCTAACACTATATATTTTTTCTCCATGTGTATATGTGTTTCATTGCTAACTTTCATTTTAAAATCTTTAGCATCAATGTCTTTAGATAAGGTTGTTGAAGTCAATTCCCTTATCTTCGTTTTAAGTACTTATATTAATGATGAGTATTGAGTGATTTATAAATGAACTGTATGCATGTGTTTCTTAGGATCGGACACCATTGTTCATATCGAAATATTCCACGGTTCGGGTATAAAAATTAAGTACGCTATTGTATGTTTGAGTTGTAAAATGCGTCAAACACATCGTAAGATACATTATCTTTATCAATGGTGCTAGTCGAACACAATAAAAAATAGTTAGAGAACCCGTGATTACACGGGTTCTATCTAGTTATGTGACTATGACACAATACATTATCCTCATCACTATCGTTTGAAGCAGAAGGAAACGGACGGTTTTCGCTAGGATCCATTGTGTCATTGACATCTTTCCGTCTTTTCCCATAAAGCTTAATCAATGGGGTATTATCTGCTTCGTCCTCACTGCTGACAATGGGATTATGTGTTTGCTTCATGGAAACATACATATTAGGATTTTTAGTTGCAGGGCTGTGGAGATGAGAAGAGAGTCGGCGGCATAGCACAAGGGGAGGATTTGACAACGAAGCCGGAGAGGAGGAGCGTTAATTATATTTCAAACCACTTCCTAATCCACTAAGGTATACGAATTTGTTTTTTATTCTTTTTTGGTACAAGAAAGGAGGCCAAAGCCTAAATCATAAAATTAAAATATTTCGTGAATTAGAAATACCGATCATATTGTATTCTAGCCATGGTTTCAATCCTAACGGGGGTTCGTCTAACCGCTGCAAGTCACCAGGACAGGAAGCAACCAAGGAAGCCATGTAATCCACCGTAAAATTAGGCTCACGAAATTCATGTCGTATCTGTACCATCCAGTCTCTACGAACAAATCTCTAATAGCACCAACCAATCCCCAATTCAATCCCAACACATCATCCTCCCCATTAACCATCTTGACAACACAAAGACTATCAACATCGGCAACAACACATCTTTTCCCAAGATCCCAGGCTAATGTCAAACCTTGGAACAAACCCCAAAGTTCCGCACTCAGAGACGGAACCAGGGGTAGGGCTGTCAACGAACATAGTCAAACCCAAACAGTTAAATGCTCGAGCTCAAGTTCGACAAAAAATTCGGAGCTCGTATTCGAGTTCGAACATCTAAATTGAAGTTTGAGTTTGGCTCGAAATAAAAATGAATAGCTCGCGCTCGGCTCGAATTTTTGTGTCCGATAAAAATTAAGCTCGAATGCTCGATAATATTGAGTTCGAATAAATTTTAATATTTGTCATTTTTAATTCAACAAGATCAATCTATATATTCTATGAGCAAAATTCTTTGACAAATCAGAAAAAATATGTATATTCCACCATTACATCTTCAAAATATAAAGGACAATAATTTTTAAGGAATAAAAAGAAAAGTTTTCATGAATTATATATTATTCATAATAAAAATAAAATAATTTATAATAAGCTCGAATCGGCTCGACGAGCTCTCGAATCAAGTATATTAATACTCGTGTTCGACTCATCTATCTAATCGAACTGTTCGAATTCGGCTCGAGTTCGGTCAAAGTCGAATTCAAGCCAAACTTTGACCAAGCTATTCGCGAACTGCGCGTTAAATGCTCGGTTCGTTGACAGCCCTAACCAGGGGGGAGCGAGGGTGGTCAGCTGACCCTGCGGTCGGCAAAGTTTTTTAAAAAATCACCTTATAATTTTAAAAATATTTTCAGAGAAAAAATTTATATATGTACTCGACCCCGTAAACATTTGGGACTGGCTCCATCACTGGACCGTACTAGTAATTGTACAGAACCCGATACTCATAAGGAACCCACTGATCCAACGTCCATAGATCGCGAAGTACTCCCCCTGCCGCTGCCATTAGTGCCCGTTTGATTATTGAAAGAGCCATCAGAATTAAGCTTAATTCATCCATCTGGTGGAGCCTGCTAGCTAATCATTATGGTTTCCCGTCGAACCCCCAAACCACCAAGTCTCCTTTCACCAACAATGCCGCCTTAACATTGCCGACCAAAGAATCAATCTCTCTCAGTATATGTCCCACATTGCGGTTACCTTCCCCGAAGATACGATCATTCTTGCACAACCAGATTCTACTTTATTTTTTGTTTTATAAACAGGCCAAAGCCTAAGTTATTCTCCTTAAATCATGTAAAATAGGATTAATAAAATAAACAAACTCCTTATAACTGACAAATAAACAAACTCCTTCAAATTGACAACATAAGAAAATAATGTGCTTTTATTTTGAAGTATGAAATCAATCGTGGACAGTAAATGTAAACTTCACATCATTCTTTAAAGGTTGGACATTTTCTTTATCCAAACGAATTTCGCATTCACTTCCTTCTGCAATTTTGTTGTCTTCAATCAATTTGTTTTAGTCTCCTGTGAGTTTAACCTACTGTATTATTTTCTCCGATATAGATCGGGTCAAAATATTTGTGAAATCTCATAACATACACTATTGTATATGTGTGTACCTCAGCTATTCTTATTTTGCAAATACCTTTATGCAAGTGTCAGAATTCAGCATGAATAGAATGTTCAAATAATTTGTTCATTGTAGAAGTTTCTAAGAATTAGATCTATCCTCGCTGCACAAAGCGCGGGCACAGTACTAGTAAACATTATTGAACTTTTGAACCAATTTTAAATTATAGAGATTTAGATCTGATAATAACTTACCATATTCTAAACTGGGAAAATAAGCATGATTATTGCAGATTGAATTGGTTTTCCATTAGGGAATAATGTGTGGTTTATTTTCTACATATATATCATCTTTTATTTATTTTAAAATTCAAATTAGACGGGATGTCTCTTGGTTTATTTTGTTTCTCTTTGGGGGTTAATGAAGACTTTCCAGATGTCTCTACAACAAATGTGAAATATAGCTAGGAAACTGCTAAATTAATATTTAATCCCTTCCAGAATAATTGTATTTTTAATTGTACTACTATTTTATCTAGTGTAAGAAATAAAATCATTAGTTTGAAACAAATAAAGAAGGAACTTTTACCAAATGTATGAGAAGTTTTTCTGTGGTTTAGTTTTTGAGTTATTATTATCTACAATACATAATCTCTCGCCTTCTCTGCGAAACTAGTGAAAACTGATAAGTACCTTTTGACCTTTTAGCCGATGCCGCACCCCAAGTTCAATCTTCGAGTACAAAATTCAGACCAACAACACATCCAAAACAACGAAATGAATAAATCACTCCAATGATATGTTTCAAACTTTTCAATCAACATCCGACCAAAGTTGGAGGAGACTTAAGTCTATAAATAAACAATCCCATGTTGAGTATCCCACATCGGCAGTAGGAGAGAGTTAATATCAATAAATAAGTCTATTGGCTACTTCCCTCATTATCAATTGGTTTTGAAGTGGAACTTCATGGGCTTCTATATTCCACTTGTCACGATTATTATGAACGAATTTGTAAAACAATTTGCCCATCAAAAAGTATGTAGATATAGAACCTCTCAGCTAACCATTTTCGCTTACGAAGTTCCCTTAAACTAACTAGGAGTACCAACCTTCAGCATTGCATAACACAAAGAGTGACCTGGCCCATTGATGGTGCAAAGAATTTTAAGGAGGGACGTTCTTGTTTGGAGTCATTTGGATTCTGAGCGACGCCAATATGGATCTTTGCCGCTGCAATATAATTTGAACAACTGAGTTGCATACTTGAGTGCCAACCGCCTACACCCATCAATGCCTTTCCCATCATACTGGATTCTTGCTCAGATTTACTCAAATCACCTTCAGGATCTCCAGCCGTCAGGAATTCACCCAATTCTGTACCCCTGAAACACCACTAATCAGCCATCATCACTTCTAAAGTAGCCCAGGCCACTAGTTACAACAACCAAAATTACATTTTAGCTTAGCTCAATGCAACAAGGAACTCACTTTTCAGACAGCCATAATTATTCATTGCATTCATGTTAAGATATTCAGTTGAAACTTCAGTACTATCAGTGATTTTAAGCTATGAATCTCATGCAGGGGAATGTGGATGGAGGTTAGGTAATAATGCATATCCATCAGGTTGACATGTAATATCAGAATGAATCAGGCAAATAACGAATTCCAAATGCAATATATGTATACATACCAGGTTGCATCAGTTTGGCTGAAACCTTGTCCATTGCAAGAAAATGTTTCCTTGAACATTTTCTCATCAGGAGTTTGCAGGCGGTACAGAGCACAGACAGCCTTCATACAAGATTCAGGGTCCTTACCAAGGTCAGCTTGCAATTCTGCCTGATTCTCCCAATTCCCTATACGCCGATCTTTGACCCTTCCTATCCTATTTATAATGTCACGATAATTAATATCACTATAAGCTTCATCATCACCTGATTCACGACCGGCTTGAGACCTCCAGACATCAGTGCTAACGAGATCAACACTTACATCACAATCACCCACAATAAAACCACCCAAGTTGCTTCCACCTTCGGTTTCTGATTCACCCTCCTCCTCTGAACCCATGTTTGCTGCTATTCTACGGAGCCGTGGCCGCATTTTAGCAGGCCTATGGTTTCCATCCGAGGAGGATGTATTATCATCATCATTTTTCTTCTGTTTGGATTTCGTCCTCAACCTTCTACTTAGGGGAATGTGGTCATCGCTATCGGTTTCGGAGTGACTACTAGTAACAATAACGTTGGCAGCTCTTTTCCGCTTGTGGCTAGTTCTGTCCCTATGACAAAATGCGTTATCCTCGTCACTATGGTCTGGTGTTGAAGGAAACTGAACCTTAATATTCCCTCCTCCGCTAAGATCAGTTTTTTTATCATCATCATTGACATCATCTTTCCTTCCTTTCCCATATAGCTTAATCAATGGGGTCTCGTCCGCTTCCTCATCGCTGATGGTGGTGGGATTACGGGATGCTCTTTGCTTCATGGAAACAACTGCTTTTAGGATCTTAATTTGTAGCTGTTTTTCTTTTTTTATTTTCAAGTGGTAAGGGAAGAGAGGTGGCAGAATGAGAGGTGGCGGAATTAAGGGGGAGGAATAGGATTGAGGAGGAATGCGATTATTAATATTGAATTGGAGATATGGATACAGTTAGGGGTTAATTAAATTTCGAACAGCTTCCAAATCACTAAAAGTATCAGAACTTGATTTGATAATAAATATGATGATGATTATGAGATTTTGAACCATTTTAAAGTCCCTGAATTATAGAGATTTTGATCTGATAATGTTGATAGAAATATCCTTCACTGGTATAAATAAGGACGATTATTGCATCATTTGGGAATAATTTGTCCACAAATAAGTATACTTCATTGGGGAATAATTTATGGGTTATTTTCATCATTTATTTACTTCAAAAATTCAAATTAGACTACATAATGGATATATCTCTAGTTTCTACTCTCTGTCGGACAAAAAATAGTCCATATAAAGTTTTCAAATTTGTAGTGATTTTTAATACAAATCTTCTTAAAACTCTATGTGGACTATTTCTATTGAAACAAGAGGAGTATTTTTTTTTTTTTTTTGGGTTATCCATTCCAAAATAATTGTGTCATTAATTGTATTATCTTATGTTTGTTATAAAATTAATGTTAGACTACTAATATGAAACTAAGCATAAGAACAAAGAGGAGAAACAAGAGAGTAGAGAGACATAATAGACTTGTATTCAAATGTATATTGAAGCATGAATGAGCTCCCTATTTATACAAGAAGTAGGCGATCAAACTGTGGGAAATGAATCACCTATCATTAATACTAAATATTACAGAATCATATCTCTTTGATTGTGAATAGAATAATACATATTAATTGTGGACATTCAATCAAATCAAAGAAATATTTCATAACACTCCCCCTTGAATGTCCATTGCGGAATAATGTCTCGTAAAAACCTCACTAGGAAAAACCCTTTTGGATAAAACCCTAGTGAAGGAAAAAGTGTACACTTCCGAATGTGATGCTGCCTCGTTAAAAACCTTCTCAGGAAAATCCATTGGGACAAAACCTCGATCAAGGAAAAAAGAGTACAACATGAGTTACTCCCCCTGTTAAGTACGCCACTTGTGATCTCTTGTTGCATGCCAAGCTATTGACCAAGTTCATGATTGTTGAAGTCAATAATAGACAAATTACTTTGATTTCTCATGTAGACAGTTGTCTTCATATACCTGTATATTTTTTAGTGTTTTATAATAAAGGAGATGCATGACCATCATACCTTGAAGGTATCAATATAGAACAACATCCAAGTATTGACTAATTGATTAGATAAATCAAAACTTCATATGGTACTTCAGGACCAAATCGGTCTACATCATTAATAGAAAGTCAAGAAGAAGGATCTATATGCACATTAAAATTTAAGCAAGTGCGCTCAACATGTGTTGAATATACGAAGGTCAAACTATTTACACGAAGATTATACTCAAGATATTTCCTTATCCTTGCTTCAGGCAAGTAGCAACCTTTTTAGGTTCCATAGAAATGTTAATAACTATTATATAACTCTTCAGAAGTTTTAATGATATTCAGGCTATTCGAATTTCATGATAAGTTTCGATAATATTCAGCTATTTGGAACTCTACAAGAGTTTGTCACTAACCAAATTATAAAACATCTCAACATATTGTCGTGTAAATATGATCATATAAGCTCAGAGAGAATCACCACATGATCGACAAACATGATATATCCAAATATATGAACAAATGCATAAACAATTATGTCTATTACATTAAAAAAAGTGAACCTAAATATTAATCTAGACACATGAAAACACTAGAACTTGCGCAAGTCTTTTCAATTAATTTCTCGAGAATAAGGACGACGTCCTCTATTGAATCCTTCAGGGATTTCGTAAAGACATCATTATCAAACGTCACGTATTAAGTATCAAGTATCACGTATTAAGTGATCACTATATTCAAGAGACATATTTCTTATCTTCATTTGCTATCAGATTAGTAAATAGCGGAAGATTTTCTTTTTCATCCACCACAAGATAAAACCGGATTTTTTAAAAAAAAACTTGTGCAATAAAGAGGTTTCTCGATAATCTTTTGCACAATCACCCGCTAAATACAGTCGGTATATCACTTGCCAAACTTCTAAGTTCGCAAACAATTTCAATTCTAAGTACACAACGTCAATTGTGTATTGCATCTTTTCATTTGTTGCGTCCAATAAGTTTATTGTCTGCATGCACAACAGATTTTCATTTCATGATCCTCATTTTCATTTATTTTACTGCTGCAGCATAAGCAATTTTCATGTCGACATTTTATTGTTTATCGATTCCATATTTTTTGGTAATGAGATCTCACAATCATTAAGTTTCCCAAGTATTCATATATTTCATATGGAAGTTAATTCACCATAATGGGAAACTATTCCAGTTCAAAATTCTTATGTATTATAATCACTCGTATTTGCTATCTCTATAGATTTAAACCTTGTCAGTTACAAGGATTTTTATCATTTGGAATCGATGGTTCTACCACTCATCAAATGGACATTTAACTAACAAATAGTGGTAGGTAGTCCTTCGGGGACACATTATCAAATTCTATGTTTTAACAGCCTTTTATATAAGATATATTTATACATTCGGTCAGGTAAACATCTGATCTTAAACATTATCTCTTGAACTTCAAGTTCATATCATTGAGGATCATAATGAGATAATTACCTTGAATAAATAGAATTTATAACAAGAAATATTTCTCTTTATATGTAAACCAAATATATATGTTTTATGATTTGCCTTTTCTCCCATCATCATCATTTTGTGTCATTAAATTGAACTCCATGATGAACTGTCTCAGTGTGGCTAGAAACTCGTCCACCAGAAAATTTTTTGAGGTCATGGCGCTTCAAGTGCTTTAGATTACGAAAGCCTTTTAAAATATTCATTGAGGTTTCAAACCTTCAAAATTAATACGCATCAACTTCAGGCGGTGGTAGAAGCTCTTTGGCTAGAGTCTCATGCTGATAACGTGTTATAAAATTAATGCTAGACTACTAATATGAAACTAAGCATAAGAACAAAGAGAAGAAACAAGAGAGTAGAGAGAGATAAGAGACTTGTATTCAGATGTATTTTGAAGCATGAATGAGCTCCCTATTTATATTCAGATGTATTTTGAAGCATGAATGAGCTCCCTATTTATACAAGAAGTAGGGGACCAAAGTGTGGGAAGTGAATCAACTATCATTAATACTAAATATTACAGAATCATATCTCCTTGATTGTGAATAGAATAATACATATTAATTGTAGATATTCAATCAAATCAAAGAAATATTTCAAAACAATGTTTAACAAATAAATCATTAGTTTGGAATAGACAGAGTAGAAGATTTCACATTTCACCCAAAAAAAAATTTAAAAAAAAAACCACTCAAAAAAAAAACAAATAATTAATTACTTCAAAAATCTTAAAAACATGCCAACTATATTCACTCAAAACTGTAAAGTTAAAACGTTGCATTTTAATACCACAAAATAGACTTTTGTTTCTTTTCAATTTTCCGTTAAGATTTCGGAAAAAAGTGACCGGTCAACAGAGAGTCATATGCACATCACATGTGTTGACCAAGAGTATTAACCTCCAACAAAAAATTGTCTTCTTTTTTTTTTAGAAAAAAAAAGAAAAGAAAAAGGGTTAAAGAAAATTATACAAATTCATTTCTCTTTTTTTACTTACTCAAAAAATCCTCCCATCTTCAAAATTTCTCCCCTTTCTCCACATCACCACCATTAATTCCGTCCTTCATAACCATCTCCTCCTCATCTAGTTCTACAGAATCAAAAAAGAAAATGATAAAAAAATACCCAAAAAAACTAAAAAAATTAGAAACCTAAATTCTTGGAAACTAAATAGACATCATCCTTAATCAGCCAAACTCAAATTGAGCTCCAACTCATTGTCGTCGATTGGTCCTTATAGGTGCATTTGGTCATCACCACCATCAGTATATAATCCTTTTCTTAGATAAATCAGTAATAATCTTTACAATTTATCATTAAAAACACATCAAATCTAAAAAATTAAAGATGGTTGAGCGGGACGAAGGTCGTCGAGTGGTTATCGACTTTACGGCAGCGGCGGGGATGTATGGAAACTTGCGGTGGCTGGCTTTGTGACAGTCCAAAGACTGGTCTGACTGGGAATTTTTTTAGCAAACGCTGCACTCGAGAAGACGGAGTTCCTTTTCAGCTCAAAAAATAAAGGAATTTCTTTCGGCGGGGGCTGTCTTTATGACCGTCGGCTGTGGGGAGTTTTTGCTTGCCGGAGCTGAGGGATGCGCTGCCTGCAATTGCCGTTGCAAATTCCATTGCAAAGAAGGCCTCCCGGTGGCATAAGTAATCCACGGCCCATTTCACTTTTTTTGGGGGGAATAATGGAGGGCTGAGCTTTCCGGGGTGGAGAAAAAGATTTGGGACAATAATGGGACAGACGCATTTGGGACATAAAATATATTTTTATTTTAACCCTTTTCATTTTTCAAAAAAAATTGTTGGACGGTTATTGCCCCTGGTCAACACATTTGATAAGCACATGATTCTCCATTGATCGGCACTTTCTCCCGGAACCTTAACGGAAAAGTGAAAAGAAACAAAAATCTACTATTTGGTATCAAAATACAACGTTTTAACTTTATAGTCTTAGTGAATATAGTTAGTATCTTTTTAGGACTTTTGAAGTTATTAATTAAAAAACAAATAAACAAACAAACTAATCGAACGGCCCACACTACTACACAAGAGTAACAGACTAGTCAGGAAGATTGCAATAAGCGAACGGCCCACGTAATCTACATCACGTCATTAATATTTACATGTTACTTCCACCGGTCCTCATTACATGGCACAAATATATGAACTAATTGTAGTTGATTTGTGCTACTAATTAGGACCAGAAGGAGTACTATCAAACTGCGTACCGAATATTTACATACTTTGTTAAGGCCTTCTGCTGGGAAAATTGTCAAGAGCAGTTGTCAGGTGCAGTCGACTGAATGCAATATCCGGTCAAAACGCGAGATAAGCTACAAACTGGACCATCATAAACGAGGACAAGCCTCATCCGGGAACAAACGCAGTCAGGCAAATGGACTCACTTGAAGTCTAAAGGCCGCCAAAATGGATCTTCCTGGCTCCAGAATAATTTAAACAGCTGATTCGCGTACTTCATCGCCAGACTCCTACACTTTTCTAGGCCTTCGTTATCATACTCTTTCAATTCTTCCACAGTTCTTCTCAAATCCCCGTCTGGATATCTATCGGTCAGAAATTCAGCCAAATCAGTACCCCTACAAGGATCAGAGTAATTAGCCATTACTGTGTAATTGTATATACATGTAGAAGTATATAGCTAAAAAAAAATCTTACCAAAATGAAATACTACACTCGTAAAGGGGATATGTGGCATCATTTACAAATGGATGTTGCTAGCACTAAGCCAAGCAAATTACATTAACTGAAATTCTTGCTCCACAAATGCAGAGACAGGTGACTTCTCAGACAAAGCCTCCCACCGATACATCTTATCACAAATTTTTAATACGCAGATGCAAAAGCATTAAATTTAACAGCTGTGGCTTATTTCAAACTACGAGCCAATGCACTAAAGACAAACAATCACTATTCTGCTATATTTATCATGCATTAAAATAATTACAGGAAATGAACTTGAAACTTCAATATCTGAAGCCCAAAAACTGTGATGCAAGTATAAATAACACAATAGGATTACTGGGTTCCTTTAAAAACCTAAAACATTTTTCTTGCACCAGTTTAACTCTGGATCACGCATTTACTTATGTCTGCAAAGGTAGATGATAATGCATATGCACGTTAACAGGTAGTCTCACAATGAACCATAATAATGCCTCCAAATTATTCCCGTACTTTAATGGAATATATACCTCTCTGCATCAATCTGGCTTAGTCCTTGACCGTTGCGAACAAATGTCGCTTTACTCGCTTTCTCATCAGGCGTTTGCTGCCGATAAAGAGCACAGACAGCCTTCATACATAATTCCGGGTCCTTACCCAAATCAGCTAGCAAATCTCCCTGGAATTCCCAATTCCATTTAGGATGATCTTTGAACCTTCCTAGTTTAGCTATAATCTTTCCTAAATTAATATCATTAACAGCTTCATCACCTGATTCACCATGAGACTCCGAGCCATCTGTGCTCGAGAGATCACCATTAGAAGCGCTTTCATCATCACTTGATAGATCACCGTCACTGACAATAAAATCTTTTAGGTTCTCACGTTCACCTTCTGAATCATCCTCTTGTGATTCATCATCCTTGGAAGTCACATTTGTTGGTATACCACAAAGCCGTTCAGCCTTCATGCGCTGTAAATTACCTGGTGAGTTCTCCGTCAAAGTTCCATTCTCCTTTTTCAAATTTCTCAACCGCACCAATCGCCGTCTAACAACAGATTCTCCGTCTCCATCAGTTTTTGAATTTTTCCTCAACCTGCCAATAGGAAGGTTATCATCAATATCACTCTCGCTGTCACTAGTAATTATATTGGAAGCTCTTCGCCGCTTACGAGTGATGCCACTGTGACAAATTACATTGTCCTCATCATCCTGATCCAAAGATCCAGTCAAATCCTCAGAAGGAAACTGATTCTTATCGAGAGTTGTGCCTCCGTTCGGATAGTTACTATCATTGGCCTTTTCCCTTTCTTTCCCATTTAGCATAATTAACTCCATAGCATCTGCTTCATCATCACTGATGTCAATGAGACCACGGCAAGCAGGTTTTGTGCCAATTGGTGTAACAGGAGTTATCTTCTGGCTTAAGTTGGTTTCTTCTCCAAAGAACAACTGCTTTCTAGATCGACCACCATACTCCAAATTTCTTCTGCGAAGAATGGCGTCCTTTCCTTTGTCTAAAGGTGTTGCGTCAGTGTAAGTGTCACCTATAGGTGTCCCTATTTCACTTGGTTCACTTGTGGCATTATTCTCCCCTCTACCTACCACAGCCTTTCCCTGCCCAAGTTCTGTCCCTCCAGACGACACAAATTCCTGAAATCCAGATGTCAGATGTCGCTCCAACTCCATTACACGGCATTCCAGTTCATTGCACTTAGTTTTCCAAACTTGAACGTCACTTTCGGCTTTTTTCTTCTCAACGTTCAAAACCTCAATTTCTGTCATCAATTCCATTAGCTTGCTATCCTCTGTATCTTCCGTCAAATCAATAAACTCTTTTTCTTCCACCTGCTTCCTTCCTTCCCCAGTAGACATGATACCATCTGAGATGGGAGCATCTTCAATTGCGTTTTCTAAAGGTTCAACCTCGGCTCCTTTTTGGGCACCTAACTCACTAATCTGAACCTGAAGGGATTTAAGCTCGTTCATCTTGGCCTTAAACTCGGTTTTCAATTGAATGAACTTTTCTTCAGTCTGCTTGTACTTCTTTTCCCACTCCGAACACTTATTGCAGCATTGCAATTCTCTTAAAACTGAAACATCACCATCTTTGGGTTCTTCGGTATCTATATCTCCAGCAAATTGGAACTAGTTCTTACTACAAAGCCCCGTTACTAATTGTTCGCCCAGATTTTTATTTCTAAGCCCTAAATTCCCAAACACGAAGCAGTCAGCAAATATCCCAATTCATTTCAAACTCAAAATAACATCCCAAAATCAAACCAAAACAAGCATAAGTTTGGAGAAATAGGATAAACCCAGAGACAAGAAAATAAATCGAAAGAGATAAGGATATACTAAACAGACACAATCATTGTGAAGGATAAAGATTACAACTTGCCAGGCGGTTATGGAAGCTGCTCACAGCGGTGTGGAGGTGGCGTTTCCACGGTATGATCGCCGAAGCTACTTTTCACCGTTTCAAGTCGTTTGGGCTTATTTATTCGGGGGGTTATAGTTATAGTTTTTTGTTCTGGATCTCCACCGCTTTATAATTGGGCTACGTTTAATATTGGCCCAAAAATAAAGCAGCTTTATGGCCCAAAAGTTAAAATTTGGCCGGTGGAGAACTCAACATATGACCTCCGGCTCTGAAGAATGACCTGAAGAACAGAAAAAAGGATAGGAGGAAAGCTTCGATGAATATTCATGGGATTCTGCATAAATTCACCCTTTCTGTTCCAAGGCAGGCCTTACTCTCTCCAACAATTGGTCGGTTTCCCAATCGTTTGAACAGTTTGCTCCGAGTTCAAGCTATGTCTACTGTATCAGAAGAGGCAGAAGCGAAGGATTTTTTGGATTTCATAGATAATCTCAAGAATTACGAAAAATCTGGTCTGCCTAAAGGATCAGGCACAGACTCCGAGGATGGCTTCGATCTAGGAAGAATGAGACGCCTGATGCAACTTCTCGGAAACCCGCAATGCAAGTTCAAGGTCAGTGGTCTGTTTCTATAATTTTTCTGTCAGGATGAGCTTGTTTTTTTTTAACTGCCTTGCTTGGTTTTGGGATCCTTGGAATAATATTGACATGAAGATTTTGTTTACTTTGCCCCTTCGAAAAGCTTTATATCTTTTAGAGCCTAGTGGACAAATGTTGCTATTGCTTTAGTGTATGGGATAGTTGGTATAGTAACATACCATTTGTTGATTTTGTAAATAGTCTGTCCATATTGCTGGGACGAAGGGAAAAGGGTCAACAGCTGCATTTCTCTCTAGCATTTTACGGGCTGAAGGATATTCAGTGGGTTGCTATTCGAGGTAATGTTAGTGTCTCTTTCAATAGTAGGATTCTGACTGTACGTGTTGCAATCACCACACTTTAGCTAAATTTCATAGTTACTTTCTTGTGAGGATCAGCCCTCATATACGAACGATCAGGGAACGCATAACCCTGGGTGCAAAAGGAGGTCCTGTCAATGCTAGTTTGTTAAACGATCATTTTCAGAGTCTCAGGACAGTGCTTGAGAGAGCAATAGAACTTGAAAATGGTGGCCTTACTCATTTTGAGGTATGTAGTTGTTGCCTCATGGGTTCTAGGAGCTGTGATTCCTGTTTAGAGACGTCATTTCTAGAAAAATCGAAATAGCTTCTTAATTCCATTTTTTTTTATCTTTTATCATTGTTTTCTAAGTTTTGTTCCCTAAGTTATGGTCCGGCATCGATCCTTTCTTGGTCAGGTTCTCACGGCTCTGGCTTTCAGCCTGTTTGCTCAGCAAGGAGTTGAGGTTGCCGTTATTGAGGTAGTTGTCTTTCATGTGATTCATTTTTTTACCCTTTTATTTTGTAATTTGGCCCAATTCTCATATATTCTTGGCATAGTTTACATGTTTTCCACTTGTCTCCTACCTTTGCAAATCCAACTCATTTGATTTTCAAGAAGTTTATTGATTGCCTTTATTAACTTCATTCTCAAATCAAATTATCTTGCAAAGTAATGACTCCAGCTTCTTTTTCTTAGTTTTTTAAGATGGTATCATTTCTGTCGGATCTCTGTTATTTAGGCTGGATTGGGTGGAGCACGAGATGCCACTAATATAATTCCAAGTTCTGCTCTTGCTGCTTCAATCATAACGACTATTGGCGAGGAACATTTGGCTGCACTTGGTGATTCTTTGGAAAGTATAGCTGTTGCAAAATCAGGAATCATTAAAGATGGACGTCCAGTTAGGTGGTTCTCCTTCACATTTTCCTCGCATGTTTGTTCTTGTTGTAATCTTCAAGGATTAAATATCATTTAGCAGAACTCCATCTTATGAATGTCAAGTAAGTTGTGGTGAGTAAGTGGAGATTCTCGGCATGATCTAGCTAGAGGTTCTTATGCTTTTTCTGTGGAAAATATATATTCCATATCTTGCAAAGATTAGAAAACTTACTTCCTCCTTGCTCGATTGTTGTGTCTATATGCACATGTATAATTATTTCTCCCTCTGTCCCAAAATTATTGTCCAGTTTGAGATTTCACTTTTAGTACAATTTGAACTAGAAATGAAAACTCAAACTGGACAATAATTATGGGATGGAGGGAGTATATGTTAACTGTAGCTCCATTTGGAATCTGCATACTTATCATTGTGATTAGGATCTGTAGGTTTTTTCTCACTCAATTGACATGGTGCATTTTCCATCATGGCCAAAATTCGAGCTTTCTTAAATATGTTATATTGGTCGTCATTGTTGTACTGTTCTTAAACATTTCCTCTATCGTAAAATGTGTCAGGTGATTCTTGGAGGACCATTCTATCCGCATATTGAGCGTATTCTTTGTGATAAAGCCTCCTCTATGTCTTCACCTGTTGTTTCCACATCAGATCCTGGAAATAATAGTATCCTAAGAAGTATCAACAAAATAAATGGCCGGCCATACCAGTTTTGTGATCTTGTGCTCCAGATTGAGAAGGACCTTAAGTTGGTATGCATGCAATTAATTTGGCTTAGAGCTTTTTAGAGTTTTTAGTGTGTTTTCTTTGGCTATGTACTTTATCAAACTAGGTCATGTGATTTACCTATTCATTTAATCCAAATGCAGAACATTGAAATTTCCAATGTTAAGTTGTCAATGCTTGGTCAGCACCAACTAAAAAATGCTGTAACTGCCACATGTGCAGCACTCTGTCTCCGTAATCAAGGTGTGTAGCTTCACATTGCTGTCAAATTCCTTAATCTTACGTTCACAAGTTTTAAATTTTGTTTTTTGCTACTGCCTGAGGACGTCGCTTAATGTTTAGTGTTGGACATGAGCCCATTATCACATTATCACATTGTTACTTTATTTCTGTGCATCAGGGTGGAGGTTATCGACCGAATCTGTTCGTGCCGGTCTTGAAAGTGCATTTTTGCTGGGAAGAAATCAGGTGTTAACTCAGAATGAAGCTGAGAGGCTGGGACTACCAGGCGCAACAATAGTGCTAGATGGAGGTTGAATTTTGATCATTTTAGGTTGAAGCACTCCCGGGTTTCAGCTATTATATTTTATGTTATGGTTTCTTATCACACTGCCTGATTTTTTCAGCTCATACAAAGGATTCTGCTGCAGCTTTAGCGAATACTATCGAGATGGCTTTTCCAAAGTCAAGTTTAGTTCTAGTAGTGAGCATGGCAAGTGACAAAGACCATTTAGGCTTTGCTAGGGAACTGATTTCAGGTTTGATGGTTTGACTGCCTATGGAAAATTGTCTGCTGTTACGGAAGGATATTCAAAAAGTTAATGTCATTTTTCCTTTGGCAGCCACATCTTTGAAAGCTGTATTTTTCACAGAAGTTAGCATTGCTGGAGAAAAGTCTCGAACAACTACGGCATCTAAATTAAGGGAGTCCTGGATCCAAGCATCTGAAGAGAAAGGTATCGATATTATTGACTACAGCAGGAACAAAAATGAAGCGAGGGATCCATCCCTCGACCAAACAAATCATCGGGGCGTAATCTTCTCCGAGGGGTCCTTAATCGACTGCATTAGAATCGGAGGAGACATACTTGGTGCAGAAACTAGCTGCCAATCTGGGGTGATGGTTATTACTGGTTCTCTGCATATTGTATCGGCCGTATTAAGCTCCATCGAGCGGTAAAAGTGTTTTTCCCCGGTAATTTTGAACATTAGTACTGTGTTTGGTAACTCCTAGAGTGATTTTTACGCAGTTTGCAGACGTGTAACGAATGATAATCTCGCCTTCTTGCTCAGGACAAACTCAGAATATGAAAATCCAAATTCAAACTGAGGAGAGGGCCAAAGAAAATTGACTTTAGCTAAGCCAAAATTATTAAAAAAAAAAAAATACTAAAAGGCTGGGGACCAGACTGAACAATGGGGACACGAAATCTATTTCGCAATCAAGGCGTTTGGGTCCCAATTTTATCGGATGTCTCCCATCAAATTGTTGAGGTTGTGTCCTTTTTACTTTTTAGTGACTTGTTCGGACCCCGGTAGGATACCCTCTCAAATTTCAAATACTGAGAATGCCTAATTGGATACATGTAATAATCAATTAAATCTTAAACATTTATTTCCCCGGATACTGGAAATGCATTAATTGGACATATATATAATCAGCTAAACATGTCTTTTTTACACATAATTTTCTTTTTTCTTTTTGTTTGAAGGGGAAAAAAGACATGAAATTTTTTTTAGTGCAATGAAGAGTATTAAACTACCACAGGTTGGTGGAAATTCTCGACCATCTCATATTTTCGTTACCTTTTTTTTCTTTTTGGCGCTGTAAAAGACACAATCTTTAAGACATTTGATGATTACAATTCATAGGTGTGAACTCCTATCATATTCCAACTATAAAAATATATGGAGAATGCTCGATCAACCTTTGTTCAAGCCAATACCTTGATCGTTGCAAGTGATTTTAGGCACAAGACAGTTTAAGAAAGATGATTCTGCATGTGGACGAGTAATGGGTATGTTAACTCCGAGTTAAGAAAGATGATTATGCATATCCAAAACTAATGAGTATGAGACTTCTATGATTGCCATGTTATTGTTTAAATTCTCAAATTGAGAAAAAGTTAATCTCGAAATTGAAAGAATTAAGAAAGTTACACAAGCAATGTATTCCTCGGTCATTTCTTTTGTTTATTTTTATATATGGACTATACTTTTTTTTCAGATATGATTGTATTTTTAATTTTAGTATAGTTATATTAAAGTAAAAAAATTTAAACTGAATACTTACATATTTGATTTTTTTTATTAAAAAAAAAAAAAAAGAGGAGTTGTAAATATCAGAGGATAAAATGTTGCAAAGTGGAATCCATGCATGGAAGAATACTGTGTAGAGTAGCAAGGGTAGCTAGTATAGCCCAATACGTACATACTCATAAATTTCGTGGACGAATTGAATGGTGTTTTCAGATGCAAATGAATGAAGTAAAGAGGACCCCATCTCATTTAACTCCTCTTTACGTTTCAAACTTTGTCCTACATTCTTCCTTTATTATGGCGTGCTATCTAAATCATATTCGTTCAAAATCTGATTTACTGCAATTTTTACAGTTTTAACTGCTTCCTCTTTAATCTTCCTATTGTTGTTAATAATGCATGTAATGCCGCCTGTAAGAGAGAATGTCGCCTCTGAAATAAGTATATATGCATGCCTGCATTGGATTCGTTTGTTCTTCGGATATTTCATAGATCTGTAATTGTGCGTTAAATTTAAAGGGCTATTAATTAAAACAGTGAATGGGATGAACTACGTTGCTTGTAAGTAACTGTACCTTATAGGCCCCTCCCCCAGTGAATACAGCAGACATGTTTACCCATTCGGCCACGTACGGTCGAGTGTTCTAGAGATGTATTCTTTCTTTTTCAAAACGAAATAGTACTTCAGACAAGAGCCCGTCACTTTAATGCCGTAAATCTGTTTTTTCATGTTTTTACTTTTTGATATATATTTATATAGGAAATTCGAGATCATTACATACTTAAGTTACGGGATTCAATTACACTATCTCTATTGACTTCAACTATCCAATATGTGCAGCGTCTAAAGCATATCTTTTCTCATTGCGCATGCTTCTAACCCTGATTCTTTCTGTTTAATTATAAGATAACAATGATGCAATCAATTTTGCTAATTTTCTTATGTTAGTAAATATGGTAAGTAATAAGTACTAACAGCATAGACCTACATATATATATATACTCATGTATTGTACAACGATAGAAATATACAGTCTCAGTATATCTGTTTAATTATAAGATAACGATGATTTCACCAATTTTCTTATGCTAATAAATATGGTAAGTCGTAAGTACTAATTGTATAGCCCTATACATATTCGTGTAACAATGATAGAGATATACCGTCTCTCATTTCACATCTTACTACAGTTTTTAATGTAAATTCCTTTCTTGAAATAAATGGAGAGTTGTATTTTCTTGTTGTAATGTCAACTTTCTGGTGCATATTATTTGTTGATATATATTGGAAGAGAATAATCGCAGTGTTAGTTCCACAATTGGAAGAGAATAATTGCAGTATTTTTTTTAATTTTTATTTTTAGTACAAGAGGGTTGCAAAAGTTTGATGACAATGTGGTTTAAATAAGAGCGACAAGGCAAAACTTGTTGTTTATTAAAAGACAAAGGAGTGATACTTTTCTTGTTGAACGGAATGAGTGAGTATAATTTAGCCAGCTCCAATATCACCTTGATCTGCAGGTAGTGATCAGTAAAGTACGCATCTCCGGCGAAAAAAAATGGCTGGTTCATGCCCCATCTTTTATCAAACTTCGAGGAGCTTCCGCAAAAAGAAAAATACTAAACATCGCTCCAGCATGCCAACTCTTAATGGAAATTTTCCAACTTGCAGTCCCTTGCCGTTGTAGTTTTTTGTTTTTTTTTTTACTATCATGTACTACACTTCTGGATTAAACATGGCTGACGATCAAATCATTACGGGAGTACAGTGATAATGCCATCCTGAATCCAACAATTGCTTAAATTGGAAAGACTTATATTTTATTTTCCCCAAAACGAAACATATAATAATAAAAAAAAATTGAGAGAAGCAAACAGCTAGCTACCAAAAATATATGATGAGTGATGATGATGATGATGAGTTGATCACAAAAATATATGAAATCAGTTTCATGTGAGGTAGGTCAGAAAAATGTAGAAGGAGTTAGTTGGGGAGGGGTAAATGTGAAAAATGATTGTTCATAGACTAATTTTGTATTCATTTGAAAGGACGGCCCCCTGCGATTCTGCGATACACTCTCACAAAGAAACGCACTCCCATGCAAAAAAAAAAAAAAAAAAAAACCCACAGAGATATCTTCTTGCAATCAATTATCATCACTCTGACTCTGAGTCGATATTGCAAGGCCACACACAACAACGCAGCATCACAGTAGTATTCATCACTGTGTGACTGTGTGTGTGTGTGTGTCTGCGTTTTGAATTTAATTGGAAGAGATACATACAACAAATGCGCATGGAAACAAGTTGGGATTCTCTGGAAAAATATTGCCAAAAATTCAATTCTCAAATCATACAAGGCACGGAGATGCCGTGTCTCCGCATTGAAAGCCCCTTTCTTTCATCAACAACAAATAAATAATTTCTTTTTTATTTTGCTTTTAAAAAAAATTCAAATTAAAAAAAGAAAATAGAGACAAGTTGGCAGACTTTTTCCAGAACCAGGCCTCATCTCCTTCATCTGCCCTTCTTCAACCTCATTAATTTACTTCTCTCTCTCTCTCTCTCTCATTCTGACTCGGTAACATTTAAAACACTCTCTCAATTTTGTCCCGTTGCTATTCTCGTCATTACAATGTTATATTGTGAAGAAACATCATTGATGATTCCCCTTTGAGGAATACCATGCACGAATATGTGATTGTTCATCATTTCTAACCGGCTCAAATACCCATGCATGCATGCTTTTGTTTTTTGTTTTTTTTTTTACCTTTTGAAGTTATACGAGGTTAAAAATAAATTAAACTACCTTAACCGGACGTTGGCCTGTCGGAAGGGCTCCATGCATGCATGAATGTGTGTATGACTGCGGATTTCTGCATGCAAGCAGAAGCCTCGGGAGAGATGACACTTTTTGCAAACATTCGGAATCGTCGTTGGGAGAAGCGAAGGGTTTTGCATTTAACCCTTTTTTCAGTTTTCACGTACTTCAAACCTAAGTGAAAATGCCAATTGGGTTACAAATTTTCAGGTTTTCTGATCCTTTTTTTAAGTTCTGTCTCACTCTCGCTTTTTTGCAGTTGTCTTGCTGAAAGTAAAGGCTTTATCTTTCGGATTCTTTTCAACTCCCAAACTGCCACCATGCAAATGGGTATATCTCATAGTTATATCGTCGTACCAATCCAGATTTATATATCATATGTTTCAGAAACTGGATATTTATTTTAACTTCGATCCTCATTAAGAAGGGTACGTATAATTACCATGGCTAGAAGAAACAATATCTTCTACTACTTTATATCTTTGTTCTTTGTTTGAAGGGTAATTAATGAGGACTGGGAGTAATTAATGTCGTACATATTCACTTATTACAGTTGGGATGCCCGCTGTTACAAGGTGGCGTCGCCTGAACCCCCAAGTCAATCTTTTCTTCTTCACAATAATATGCACCTAAGTTATCTAACAGCTGACAAAAACCTTTTAGGGGTGGCCAAAGGTTGCCGTACCGGTTTGGGTTGATGTATCATTTTCTTGGATTCTATTTTTCATATGAAAGTGTGTATCAGTCTTCAATTTGTAGAATAAGTAAAAGGTAGACGGGAAACTACCCATCTTGAGTTCAAGATTACTTCAGATCATATATATCAGTCTGTCTTGGTGGAATCTGTAAGGTGGCAAGGAAACCATTTTGAGTTCATTATTATGAAGTGTGGAAACTAGCGGAGCTACAATTTTAGGAAAGCCAAAACCCACTCATCATCAAGAAGTTTGCATTGAATTAGGAGAAATAATCGTTGTTACCGCCAAACCTTACAATGTAAGAAGGGTAAATCTACTCTTTTGGCCCTATAATGATAGTCTAGTTTGTAGTTTTATTTAGAGTGCAATTTTACTAAAAATAAAAAATCAAATAGGACAATTATTTTATGACATTATTTTGAATAGGCAAAATTATTTGAATTCACGATGGTGTCTAAAGATTTTAAGTCCTCCTTAGTTCAACAGTTTCTAGAGAGGTCATCCCTGCTAGTCCCTAGCTCCTACCTCCACCTTTATTATTGGAATGTTTAGATCGAAGTAATCTTAACCCTCAAAAGTCAAAACATATATACAGTAAAACCTTCATAAATTAATACAGTTGGGCCTCCAAAAATTTATTAATTTATAGAATTATTAATTTATCGATAATTTAATAATTATTAATGTATTGATAATTTAATCTTTTATTAATTTGAGGAATTTTTTCAATCCTAAAAGTAAGAAAATACAAAAATTTAATATTTTTTATATCAAGAAAATTCAGTTGCAGCCCTAGCCACAGCATTATAAATTTTTTAATGGAACAAAAAATGATAATTATAAATATAAACAAAACTAGTTAAGTCCAAATCTAAGTTAATTTTCAAATATAATTTATTATTTTAGGTATTTATTAATTTACAAAATTATGGGGATCTATATTTATTTATATAGAAGATTCTTGAAAATTTTATTATCTTATAAATTAATCGAGTTTTTTAATTTTTGTGCTGGTCCCAAGTTGGGAAAATTTATAGAGTATTAATTTTTGAAAATTTTACTAAATAGAGGTTATTAATTTATAGAGTATTAATTTAGGAAAATTTTACTGTATTAGCTAGACGGTATAAGTTGAGGTGAATAGGTTCAATTTGATTTCCTAGTCATACTTAAGTGATTAATTTATTTTGATGGAACCTAAGTATCATCAGTTCATTATCTATGTATCGAGAATGTCGCTGAGGTTATGAATTGTTAACGAATATTTCGATTTCATTGGATGGATGTATATGAAATGTCAAGCTTAATTAAAATGGTTATTAAAAACTCCATTCTACTACCAATAAGTACTTTCCCGTCAGTAAAAGTATTGGACCGATTAATCATGATCAGTGTTCAACTTAAATTCGTATCAATGATAAATACTTTGGACGAACCTGGAGCATAATATATCCAAAAAATACGACATCACTTTCCACATCTGTGATGGTATAAAGATTTGATTATGACGTTTAATACTTAATGCTTGAAATGAGCTACATACATAGCTATTCAACGGGTGTACGGGTTTGATGGGCCAAATGAATAAGGTAATCTTACATTAAAATTTAAAAAGATCAAACTACCAAAAGAAAAAGAGCATGTTCAAAACACATCAAAGCAAGGTGCATGCATCTAGGACATAATATACCCATCTGTCCAAAAAATGATGGTTATGTTTGAGTTATTAAATTAAAATACAATTAGTACTGAACATGAAAATTCAAACTGAATAATTAAAAATAATAATGTATTCTACTTTTTATGATTACCAGAGAGTAAAATATGTTTTATACTTCAGGTAACAGTTCAGTAATTGAAAATAAGAATATGAAATAAGTTGGTTTGGCTCACATGTCATGAGCTTGTAAGACAGAAATTGCTTAGAATTGTTTACCATTCGATCGGGGGTTTACACGCCCGAAGAACTTTCCCCAAACAAACAAAAAAAGCACTTTTTTTTAAATCCTCTAGTAAAGCACATATTTGAGGATTCACAGAGACAAATGTGCCTATCAGTGCATAAATGAAAGGGTTCACAGGGACAAATGAATTAATGACTAAAACAAAGATAACCTGCGGTGATAATATATATAAGTAATCAACATTGTAATTTTCATTTAACTTTTCCGTGTTACAATTGTTTAGGTGTGAAAAGGGGAGTGACTAATTAATGCTGTCTGCAAGTTCTTTTTATTTTATTTTTTTCTCAGTATAAGACTTGAGTTACATTGGATTCAGAAAGTTAGAAATCCATTCCATCCACACACTTCAGTGTTTTTCTAAACTTAACCTCTCTAAATATCGATCGTCCTAACGGCTCTCCCGGCCTATATAACATTTGATCTCTTTCTTTCTTTCTTCTGGTGTGTAGTCTGTTTCAATTCCTCCTTGAAGTTAGCGCACAGATTCTCTGTTTTCTTGTTCCCCCCTCCCCCAATTTAGTTCTTTCCAAGTTCTTCTTCATTCCTGCAAAACCTCCCTTCATTCAAGCTCACGGCCAACCCAACATTTGTAGTAAAAGAAAGGAGAAGAAAGAGACAACAAACAGCTAGCCTCCAACGGTAAAGACTGAAATAATGGTATTAGTATAAAGAGAGATTAGCCGAAAAAAGAAAAGAAAAAAAAAAAGGGGGGGGGGGCCATGAGAGAAGGGGATAGTGAGTGATGATGGTGATAGTTTAAAATGAGTCCCTTTCAAAGGTTATAATAATATTTGCTCTCTTTTTTGGGGCTTGTCCACACTTTGTAATTCTCTCTTTCCTTACTGGCCGCCGGGCTCTCTGCAAACTTGCGATAAACAAGGCTGTTTTGTAGGGGGGGGGGGAAGAAATGGGTCATGAGAGCTTGTGTGAGTATTTTGTAGACTCCGAATTCGACGAAACGACAAACCAGATGGGTTCTGGTAATAGTTCTGGAGCTGATGATATCTTCAGTGTACTTGAAGCTTGGGAAGCTGTGTCGGATTTCAACCCCATGACTCCACTTGATGAGGGTGGTTTCAAGTTGAAGGAATCTGATACCACCAGATTGCTTTCCCAGAAATCTACTTCTTCCAGTACTACTACTACTACTACAACTGCTGTTCCTCTGGATTCTGAGAACGAGCTTGAAACATCTCGGAATCCCAAGCGCCAGAAGCTCGTGGCGGCTGCTGCTCATTCCGATGAAGCAAACCGGAATAATCCTAACTGCACCCAAGATGGTGGTGGTGGTGGTGGTGGTCAGCAAAGGATGACTCACATCACGGTGGAGAGGAACCGGAGAAAGCAGATGAATGACCACCTGACCGTCTTGCGTTCTTTGATGCCTTGCTTCTATGTCAAAAGAGTATGTCTTAATTTCCTTTTCCTAGCTTCTATGTACTTATCCCCATGCACCCATGCTTACTTTCTCCGTTCCAAAATGATTGTACAGTTTGGATTTACGTTTATTAAAAACTGTACTAAAACTGAAAATCTAAATGGAGACAGAGATGATACAAAATATTTAATTATCAAGTGATCATACGCTATAAGTACAGTTGATGAATCATTTTTACTTAGTAAATTTGTTTGATATGTGTGTGCATTAATTTTGTTAAAATGTGTAAATTAAGGGTGATCAAGCATCAATAATAGGAGGGGTGGTGAATTACATCAACGAGCTACAACAAGTGTTGCAGTCGCTTGAGGCCAAGAAGCAGCGGAAAGTCTACAGTGAAGTATTAAGTCCTAGAATCGCGGTGTCTAGTCCAAGGACGTTATCTCAACCACAACCAAGTCCGAGGAAGCCACCACTGAGTCCTAGGTTAAGCTTACCAATAAGCCCAAGAACCCCGCAGCCCACCAGCCCTTACAAGCCTCCTGCATCAAGGTTGCCACCGCAACTCCAAGGCGGCGGCTTACCTTCTCCCTGCTCTTCTTCCACCACCAACTCTTCCATCATAAACGACAGCGTTAACGAGCTGGTTGCGCATTCTAAGTCCGCCGTTGCCGAGGTTGAGGTCAAGTTTTCGGGTCCGAATGTTTTACTCAAGACGGTGTCCCCACGTTTGCCGGGACAAGTGGTCAAGATAATCTCGACCCTTGAAGATCTTTCCCTCGAAATCCTCCAACTCGACATTAGCAACATTGACGACTCCACCATCATGTTTTCTTTCACCATTAAGGTAAGACATATATCCATGTTTTCTTGTTCTTGTTTTGTTCATACTGAAAAAAATACGGTAAAAGCTTGTCAAAAAGTTTATTTATTAAATTTAGTTTGGGTTGACTGATATTACTGAAGATATGGACGAGAGGGAGAGGGTGAAATTAATAAATCAGGAATCAGACTTTTTTTTTTTTTTCTGAACAAATAATTGCACCAATATAAGGCATGGAGCAATTACTAATTTCTGAGGGAAAAAGAAGAAGATAGTAGAACGGAAGATTTAGGAACCCTGTGACTGCGACTGTGACGTTAAAAATCTTTGATAAAAGCTGCAGTTTACAGAGGTAGAATTATAGCGATAGACGACGGTAAGTTTGCTGACCCATATATGAGAAATGTACGTACCACAAATATATATTCTTATTACAGAAGAAGAAACTGGAGCAGCAGGATAAATAATTTACTGTCAGCTTTAGAATTTCATCTGTCCGTATTTACTTTCAGCATTTGTTTTTATTAAAAAGAAAAAAAAAACACTGTAATTTGACCAGTAGTAGTACTGATATGAGTAGACGTGTTCGTTTTTTCTTCTTGTGTTTTTGTTGGGCAGATCGGAATCGAATGCCAGCTAAGTGCGGAGGAACTGGCTCAGCAAATTCAACTAACGTTTTGCTAAGCTTTCCTTCCATTTCCCGGCCGCCTCCGTTATAACTCCTTAATCTCCAGCATTTTTCTTTATCTCTCAAGACACAAGGGGTTTGGTTAACTTGGTAGTTTGGTTAATTATATATGACTGTTGCATTTGTACGAAGGTAGCTTGTTTGGAAACCCTAACACGCACACACACACTCACAACTTTTTTTTATTAATAACGGGAGTTAATTCCGTGATAGAATTCTTTTTTTTTTCTTTCTTTCATTAGAGAGAGTAGTGGATCATTGTTCATGATTTGTGCTTAGAGAATCTCGGCAGCTTATATTTACGTCTCAATTTCAAAGTATGTTAGTTTCTGTCGCTTCGGCATTCAGTATCCCACGCCAACAAAAACCCATGAAACGTAAGAAATTGAAGTTAACTATGACTACATACCCACAATTTTGAGTTTTTTTTTTTCTTGGACATGAACAATTTGTTAGCATTCTCGAAAACAATATTTCTGCCATTAAGTGCCAACCGAAAAAAAAAAAAAAGAAAGAGAATTTTAACCAGTAAAATTTGTACATGCATAATGCATTCATTCGAAGACGAAGATGAACAGCAATTGGATCCTGTTATATGATGAGAAAAGCTTGCCCTGTAGGTGTGGAGTTATTTAATATCTGAAAAAAAGGGAATCATGATTGTGAACCATTAAATTTACCAGTATAGGTAAGCTGCTGTTGTTACTCAGACATTGATCCCTGATTCGAGCAGCAGAATGATGGCATCTAGTTTCTTCTGGCGGCTTCTACGTTCTTATTGTCGGCCTAACCCTAAGATAATCATATAATCTAATCTATCTGTTTTAAACCCATATCCCCCTACAAGAAAAGAAACGCAAACTCATGCATGCAGACCATACATAATTATGTACTGTGAAGCCTAGCAATAGCATCCACCCCCCTAGTATACTTTCCTTCTTCAATCCCCTATTAATTAATTCACTAATTAATTACTCTGCCAAAAGATATATATATATATATATATATGTGTGTGTGTGTGTGTGTGTGGGCTAGAGGCTGGTTATGAACTTTCGAACAATTTGAATGATGATGCATGTTATATATAAATATATATATATATATGCACGCATGCAGGATATAAAGCTTGTGTGTTGTTTTAAAATTTTGTTCATTTGATCAATTCGGATAAATTAACACCAAAAAGTGTAATAAAAATGAGTGTGGTCCTGATGGGAGGGATATTGGTGGTGATGTTTTTATAAGATTGGCTGTGTAGGCAGCCCTAGCTATAAATTGTTCTTTGATTATAACCCTATTTTGAATCATTCCCTTTTTGATGATCAGTATATATGGTTCGAACAAATGTTGGTGGTGATTCCCCTCCCGCCGGACCAACTAGTTTAATATGGATTAGGCAAAGCAAAATGGTCCCTTCACAAGTGCTTTTCAGACGAAATAGCTCAAACCGGGACTAGAATAACAGCCATTATTTTCATGCGGTTGCGGTCCAAAATTCCATTATATTCCTGCCCGCCGAGTACGTTATTTGCTCCAACATTCAATTCTTTTTGTGTTGCTTCAGCTTTAATATTCCTCTTATAACTATAGGGTTTTTTTTTTTTTTTTGTTTCTACCATATACACTATGTAAGAAGCTATCTAATTTATTACCCTATACTATCCCATCATACTAATTTACTACATTGTAGTAGAACTGTGAAAATGAGACGAAGAGTAGTTCGCCTGTTTATCTCCTTATATGTGTTATCAATATGGTTGTTTGATCTCTCAACTAAAACAATATCACATGATATATATATATATATATATATGTAATCATATGTGATTTTGAATCTGATGTAGTAAAATGTTGGAGTATGGGTAGCTGAATAATTCAATTAAATCCAACGTCATAAGATAATAAGTAAATAAAACTATAAAAGGGGGAAATAAACTTAGTAGAGCAGGGAGTGCTGAGTAGCGAGTACACAAAATACTAGTACTTTTTTATCAGTAACAATAAATTGGGGAGCAGTAGAAAGTTGATTTGTCAATTGATACAATAATGTTTGTTGATCTGCATGCGCGCATTGAATTCGATCTATAAGACTTGTGGGGAATCCTTGCGTCCTCTTCTGTTTTGGGCCGTCCGACAAGTTTAACTATGTTTGAACACCGCGCCATTATAATCTGGACTAGGAAATGGAACATTCACTAGCTAGCTGTACCATTCTCCCATTTTCTTTTGGTTTAGTACTTTAATTGATGTATGATTTTTCCTTTTTTTTTAACTAATTTCGTGAAATGTGCTGCTTTTACGGAGTATATGTTCTCATTACTGAAATACAATTTTTCTTAGGGGAAGAAAATATCATTTCACATAATTAATATAAATACTTTGAGCACGAGTAATTAAAGTGGGGGAAATTCAGAGTTTTGTACCCTTGATCATAGGTCGAGGGTTCAAATTTCGTTATAGACATTCAGTAACTTTAAATCCTTTGACTATGTCTCTCATTTATCGAGGTGTTTACCATGAACAGGGGAATCTGTCACGATTTCCAACAATAAATACCCTACAATATATATACACGGAGGAAACAGGACAAAAAATGGAAAAATCAGCTAGTTTCGCTTGACGGCCTTGCATTTTAGAGACATGCAGGCTAACATTCACCGAAGGCCTGATGTGTAAGTTCGGAAATAATTACAAAGCCCATAAAGCTTTTGTGGCATTTGACCTAAATGATGGGCTCTGCAGTCATGCCCGTTTTACAAGCCCACAACAATCCTCAAATCAAAAAAGTTTGCATTCTCCATGGCTTTAATGAACTTGGAAGTTTGAACAGATGGCCGGAGAGACGGACGGAGCTCAGCCGGTGGATGGACGTGTTTCAGATGAATAGCATTACAGCGACACCTCACTCTCTCCATTGACTTCCGGTTAAGTTTCAAACTATACTACTTTTCGTGCCGCACCAATTTGATTTTGCTTTATTTCAATGCCATTCTAATAGTCTTCCCTTACCAGCGTGATTGGTGTTGTTGGACCTGTACAGCTGATTCGTGTCTGGTTTTTGTTCCTTTTGCATTGTGCCGTTCAATTCAATATATGCATCCCATAACACTAAACATTTTCTGTATATAGAATTTTACATCCCTTTTTTGGCAAAATTATCAGACGTGTTTGGTTCTATTAGTTGCTAAAGCGTGTGGAAAATTCAAAATTGACTAGCTCTAGTTTGATTAATAACCAATAAGGATTTTGCTGGGAACAATCTCAACGTCTGAACTGAGAAACTTTGATTTGGAGTAGTAAAATGGCAGCAAGAAGTTTTTGGCAGATGATAGTGTAAACAAGAGCACTGTATAAGTCTCATGAGATACAAACTCGTTACAATTCTATTAATTTCCGCAAGATAAGATCAGATTACAGACAGAATAGATAGCTTGAGTTTTGAATTACTACAAAACTGTTCACATCCACTACCATATTACTACCATCTTTATCTAGATATACGGTAAGACCAGGGCAGAATCCAGAGGTTTCCACAAGGCTACCGTTTTGTAACCCATTACCCTGCAGTACTAGGTTAGTCTTATGCTGTGATTTGATAGTTTCATGGGGAAAAACTGCTCACATTCAGGAAAAGAATCCTGTATTATCAAATGTGAAGTTAGGATCAAATTCCATTTGCCTGAATGGAAAATCTACACCAATAGTTGGAGAGTTTGTGGTGGAAGTCGCAGCTGATATTAGATCTGGATATTCAGTTTCCAGTGTGTATGAATTCTGTATTCCTGCAAAGCCACTTATGTGAGTGGGTGAGACTGAGAAATCATTTGATCTAGATGTTGCTGCAGGCATGAATATGCGAGACAATTCCCCAGAGAAATTGTCGTGTGTTTCATTTGGGCAGAAAGTGTAACTATCTGGTCTTTCATCTGATGCTGGAGGGAAGTTAAATGTGGGAAACAGTGGACTGTTGGTTTCCAATTCTTTGGTTTCAACCTTCAGATCTCTTTGAAAATTCAAAAGTATTTCCTGTTGATTTTGTTGCGATTTAGAGACTTGTTGATGGATATTGGCCTGTGAACTTGATTCAGGCTTTTCAGCTAATACTGAAGGTTGGTTTGACTCAGAACCCTGATTACATGTGTGCCTCCCCCGGTATGTCACTTCCAAGATGGTTGGGTCCTCATCGGATCTCTGAACTTGCTTTGTTGCCAGACATCCTTGGACATGTCGGTAAGTGCATCTATAGTATCCTCTGAACGCAGGAATCACGAATTATTAGTAGCAATTGAGGGATTTGATGCTGTTTTCTACTTTGACTAATGCACAGGATATTTATAAGTTGCATGAATATGATATTTTCTCATTGTGATTGGTGCAGCCAATTCCAGTCCCCTTCGGCCCAAATTCCTATTGGTGCCATATGTGAAATTCAACATAAGATTGTACTTACTTGTTCATCAAATCTTCTAGATCGGCAAATGAACAGGTTAGTAATTTTATGGCTTTTTGCAGGATGTATTAAAAATCTCTTGTTACTATGTTTTTAATGCTCTTCCCTGAAACAGTGATCAACATAGCAAAGACATGCAATTACGAAAGCCTATTCACCTTGGATATTTGGCTCCAAGAATGTCTTTCTGCCCATACTTCCTCCAACTAAAGCCATCGTCCAGAGGGCCTTCTAGTCCCATTCCAGGACTAACTTGAATGTGTTTTGTCCATCGAGGCATAGTCTTCCTGAGAGGGAAAAGATGCTGTTAGAATTTAGAAACATTTCAGAGTGACGTGGGACAATCAATATGTGCTCAAAATTAATCTCTAAAATGGTTGCAAGATAAACCACAAGTTCTATTACCTCTTCCTGGAGGCATATCCAGGATCCTGATCCCTGTATTCTCGATCTGAATCTTCACTGCGTGGACTTCCACTAAGGGATGTCGGGGATTCAGACATTCCAAAAGTGATCCCCGTACTAGGGTGGGAACGATTTTCTGACACAGCCATTGTTGCCCCTGTCTGTTGTTGTTGTGTTTCTCCCATTCCCGCAGGGGCGTTACTTTTAACCAAGTTCAACGCTTTCTCGTAGGACTTCAAGATCTTGTGAACTAACAATTCACGACTTTCATGTGTAGAGGATGGTGCATTGATGTGAATCTGGAGCTGCCTAGCCAATTCCCTTCCTTGTGTCAGCTCATTAATCAGATTAATTCCCTCCCTATCTGCTGAATTCTCCATTGGCAATTCAGTAGTGTTCTAGCAGCAGCAGCAGCAATGTCCTGGGCACACTGGAGAGCTTAATGAATATCGAGTGCTACTAGATAGGCTCGCCAGCCAGTATTTGATGCCTGAACTTGTGCAATTGGGAGGAAATGAACATGGAAGAGAAGCAGCTCAAAGGTCTCCAGTTGAGTTGTCTTGGTCTTTGTTTGTGAAACCATACACAATGTGTCTGGGAGTAAGCAGCACCTGGTACTAGAAATATCGTCTCTCTTTGCCAGTTTAATTATTCAGATGAAAATCAAATATTAGAAATGAAGAGCGGAAGAAAAAAGAAAAGAAAAAGAAATATCTTCAGGGTTGTGATCAAATTGACTGTTTCGAGTTTAGACAATAGTAGGAGCTTGGAAGTGTAAGCTGGTGGAATGAAGAAGCATTCCGCTGAAGTTAATGGGTATATATTAGAGAGTATACTATACGAGAGGCATTTTTCAGTTGTTGAAGAAAAGGGGAAAATTTGACTGAAGAAAGCGAGTGACTATTCTTGTTCAAAGTCGGGGTCAGTGGTCAACCCAGAGAGAGAGTTTATGTGGTTTGAGTTTAAGGAGAATCACTAACTGCTGACTATTTCAACAACCTAGAATTTGTCCAAATACAGCGTTAAAAATCTCTTGTTATTTCGTGGTGTGGTGCAGAATTTTAAACGATAAAAGAAGAGCTTAAATATGATTAGATTACGAATAATGAATCATATTAGTAAGAGGTTCTGGAATTTGTAGAAAATGGAAGGAAGTAACTAGTCAAATTCGAGGAGAAGGAAAGGAAAGAAGCGAAACATTTCGCCATTTTTTGGTGGGTATGACCAAAGAATTTTCAATTCAGTTTACGCGGTACTACTTGACAGTATTTTGACAAAGAGATTCAGTAAAAGTAACCTCATTTTTTTTAAAAAAAATAAAAAAATTCAATATTTTAAGGAAAACCTACATTTGAGTGATGATGACACGGTAGTTGACGTAAGAATCAAACCCCAAGCTTACGTTGATGTTGACATTTTTTTTCTTTCTTTCTTTTCTTCTAAGAGAGTGTGTTGACCTTTTAAGCCATTCATTAATAAGAACTCAGTAATGATTCACGAGGAACGTGCTACAGTAGAATCTAAAGGTTTTTTTTTTTTTTTTTTGGACAACGATCTAGTGGTTCAGTTAACATGTAATTCTCTTTATAGATGCCTAATGTATTATTGTTGGATAAGTTTATTGCTTCGATCTGGATCTAACTCAAGGTCTTTGCATATGTGATTAAGCTCTTAAAATTTGGTGCATGTTGTCAATGTTTTCTTTACTTCTTGTAAACCGGACTCAAAATTGTTTTGGTTCCTAATTTCTCCGCCTGCCAATGTAAATTCCCCAAGGTGATGCAGTTTAAATGATTGATCTTGAATTTTTGAGTGAGATTTCTACAACACTTATATTAATGACTTATTAAGACTAATTGGTTAATGACTAAGAATAATAATTAACTAAATATTACTGATTTCAGTAAAGTGATAGGTACATAATAGTATAATAATATTAGATAGGCTGACGATATTATTAGGGCAAAAATTAGCATCTAGAGTAATATATCACTCTCTTGACAAAAGTACCCTAACAAAGTTAAACAATCCCTCGCCACTCACCATTTTCACTCTCTCCGCCCATACTTCACCGCCGACCATACTTACCGCTTCTCTATCATGAATTTGGGGCGGCCAAATTCTCTGTTTTTCTCCAATTACGAATATATATATATATATATATAACAATAATAATATTGACCAAGAATCTAATCATGGTGTTTTATCTCTACAAAAATGTTCAAGATTGATTCTTTCTATTTGGTCTCCATAAAAGTATATCATTTTCTTCAGTGAAAAAATATGCAGGTGATTCTTTTTTTTGATTTGCAATCATCTGGAACTCCATTTGCATAAATAATTGAGATTGCACTAAGAAAGAGAGCAGAGGACTAACCAACAAAATGTAAACCTAGGCAAAAGGGGTTTGTGATTGATTGATTTCGTGACATAAAGCAGTCCTAATCTAGAATTCAAAGAATGTGATTATGGGATAGAACAAAAAACAATCGTAATTGTAACTCCCATGGTTTTCTTTTGGATTAAGATGATACAATTCCATTGCGAGAAGAAAATTTAATGGAGACTCACCAACTGGAGAACAGAGCACAAGGTAGAGGAGAGTTGGTCAATGACGGGGTAATTTTGAGAAAATACACACAATTTGCTTTGAAGGCTAATTTTCGCCCTACCAATATCATCACCTTATTAGATAATATATAAATAGAAATTTTAATTAATTATATGAAGTGGAACTAAATTATAAAGTGCCTCTATTAAAGGATTAGTAACTATTTACTATTTTCTTTTTGAAACCTCTATAAAAGGAAAATAGTTACTAATCTTAATTTAATTTAGGCACATTATAATGGGTTGGAAAATGTCTCTATTAAATTGAAATAGTTTGTTTTTTCTTTTCCTTGTTGCGTGGTGTGTCGTGAATAACACCCCGCACTTATAGCAAACATTTTGATGGATGGGATATATATATATATAAAAAAAAATTAAAATATTCATTGAGGTTTCAGACATTTAAAATCAATACACACCAACTTCAGGCGGTGGTAGAATCTCTTTTACAAAAGTTTTCGTGCTGATAACGTGTTATAAAATTTATGCTAGACTACTAATATGATACTAAGCATAAGAACAAAAGAGAGAAGACAAGAGAATAGAGAGAGATAAGAGACTTGTATTCAGATGTATTTTGAAGCATGAATGAGCTCCCTATTTATATAAGAAGTAGGGGATCAAATTGTGAGAAATGAATCACCTATCATTAATATTAAATATTACAGAATCATATCTCCTTAATTGTGAATAAAATAATACATGTTAATTATGGACATTCAATCAAATCAAATTAAATATTTCATAAAATATATATATATATATATATTAAATACCCGGGAAGCCAAAACAGGCTTAGATACAAATAAGAGTTCAAGATGGGTTCCTATCGGTCATCTTTCTCTGGGCCACTTGCCAGCAACCTAATATCATTAAACAGAAAGTCCAATCAACTAGTACCTAATTTGATGTAACAGAGTGCCAATTAGAACCTAAACAAAGCGAAGGTCCTCAACTTTGATGTCCACTCGGTGATGATGCCAATTATAAAATCACTGATCAATTGATCGATTTAGAGAGGTGAGCGGCTTAACCGATGGTGTCCGGCAGCTGCTCCTCATCGTCGTTGGAACAGTGCTCTTCCTCTATCACTGCACCAAAGTCCTCTGGCGACTCTACTTCAAGCATATCATTGCATCTGCTCTCATCCTCCTCTCTTTGGTGCATTCCACTGTCTGCCTTCATGAATGGAAGATTTGGTCAAAGAATTTAAAGTTACTCCATGCATATGATCAAATCATTAAAATGAAATAGACGAATTATTCCACTTATCACTTATGTTGCGGGGATGGACCGTGTCCAAATCAAAAATTCAGAATCCATCCATTTATGTAATTCGGCCTTATTATCTTCCTATCCCCATAACTGTGAATGCTTCAACTAGGCATATGGATTAAGATCGATGCAATCCGAGGCCCGTATTCATCATGAAGTAGACCGTATGTATATTGACCAGATTCTCAGCGTCTTTTCAAAAAATTTCTCAAATACACTTCAGTCTTCAACTCTTCATGCAACTTTTAGGAATTCTGCACTCTGCAGTGATTTCAATAGAAAAGAAAAAAAAATAAAAAAATCTGCACTTCAATTCATGCAGTAAACCTGATTCATATAGAATGGATAGTGAACTTGTTTAGAATTTGGAACTCGTTTCATGAAGACGAAACAATTAATTTTTTATATGTTTTTTATAAAAATTATCTCATCACATATCAATAAAATTACTTGTTTTTTTTTTACACTTTCCTGAAAATACAAAATCTCTAAAAAGGGAAAAACAATCACGGTACTTCTTATAGAAAGGAATGGAAATACTAGCATTTTTTTTCTTAATAGTTTAAATATTCTCTAGGCACCAAGGTGTCGGTCTCAAAAGAAATTTATTGATAAAAAAATTATTTATTTGGGCTCCGATTCATTAAATCTTTCGCGCCAATTAAAATATTAAAGTAGAGAGAGAAGATTTCACTGGCTATATTATATTGTTTTTAACAAAATTTTTCTCAATTATCAATTGTCTTTCTATTAATGGTGTGCAAATTTGAATCCAAAACTTAATCACGTACATGACTTCCTTTTTTTATACTAATTATTGTCTCTCCGGTCCTTAATATAAGGCATTTTGATTTGTTCTGGATTTACCTTAGTACATATTTTTAACTGACAAAAAACTCTTAAAAATATAGGTAATAATCAAGAGAATACAACCAACGTGAAAATATATTTTTAAGGCCTTTTCATCAATTAAAAATGTGTAATATGTGAAATCTAGAACAAAATCAAAATGTTTTATATTACATCAGGTATATGACCATTGATTACCTATTGGTCCTATATATAGTCATGATTGGTAAACTATTTTTGGGATTGGGATGGGACGTTTGCAGCATATATTTATGATTACAAAATATAAAATTACATAATAATTGCGTGTCAAACTATAAGTAATTAATTATATTGGTGTAATTAAAAAAAAAGAAAGAAAATAATAGGTACTGTGAATTTGAAAGGTGAAATAAGATAATAACTGATGTAACACATATATAATTACTTAACCGTGTTGGTAGTTAAAAATTAATAGTGTTATTTTTATATTTTCATGAATTACTATCTCATTTCACTTATATATTCATTTTTCAACAATACTACCTTCAAATTATCATTAAACCTAAACTACCCGTGAAATTCGAGGGGGGAAAAAAGATCGAAACAAGGAAAGTTGTTGTATCTTGTACGTGAGCAACATATTTATTTTAGGCAACTAACCAGCCAACTTGGGTTTTCCTATTTTTATTTTTATTTTTTCCCCTTTAAGCTTATGTAATCCGTCCGGACAAGATTTACTACGCACGAAAATGCCGAAAAAAATGGTTCCCAAAAGAAAAATGAAAATACCGACAAAATTTGGCAAAAACAAACAAACAAAAACTGAGTCAACTCTGGTGCCCTCGCTCCCTCAACTCGTTCTGCTCTGTCTCTCTCCTTGACTCAGTAAGAAAATCGTCCACGTCCCTGAAAAACCCCACAAATAAGTTTTGAAAAAAGAAAAAAAAAAAACAAAAAACAAAAAACTAATAAAAGAGGAGCAGCAGGAGAAGTAAAGGGAGGAGCAAGAGAAAGAGAAAGAGGGAGATACGAAAGGTTTGATTTTTTTTTGTTTTTTTTTTTTGGTCGAATTTCATTCTTCTAAACTTTCATTGATCTCCTTTCAATTTTTATTCCTCCAAGTCCATTTCTTCGTTCTTGATGTGAAATATTCATGTTGTGATACATAATACCCAATGTGTTTAACTCGGATTGAATTCAAAGTTTGGGGTTTGTGTCCGGAATGATCAAGACCCTTTCAATGGTGCACTCATGTTGCTTTCTGTGGTTGCCCTAATTAGAGGGAACGTGATTGTTAAGAAGCTTTAAATTCTAGAAATGTCGGATAGTTACTGTGGCTGATTCTGAGGTTGATTGGCTCTCTGAGTTTACCTTGTTGGGTTGTAGTTTTTTCATACCTTTTTGTTGCACAAAATTCGAGTTATCGGGATTGAAAGGAGTATACAGTTTTAATTATTTACATTCATCAATTACAGTAGAATTATGTATTTTCCTTTTGGGGATTACTTATTTTGAAACTTTTGAACTGACATGTAAGGAATGTCAATTGAAACATCAAATTTATTGAACTTCCCTTTCGCGATTGTATATGGATTTTGTGTATATTCATTGACTTATGTATCTGCTCATCCAAATCTGAGATAGCACATTGCGGTCACAGAGACTTTTTCCTCGGGTGATGTTCTTACCTATGGTAGTAGAACAGAAGATACGAATTTTTAGAAAAAGGTATTATTGTAGTATTTTGAGGTAACAACATTGATACAGCTGGCGGGGCTACATTAGGGTGCTCATACCTCATTTTGAATCTTTTTGTGATGATTATGCTGTATTGAGGAGCTGGATCCGCAGCTGATTGTACTTTAAGCTCAGCAGTGTGGAATTGAAATGTTGACAGTTAGTATAATTAGTTCATGCAAAAGCCAAAGAAAATAGCAGAACAAGAGATGATAACTTTTAGGATTCAAAAAGTTTTAGGATAATTAAGCAGATTGTCACCCTTCCAGTCTGTGCCTTTTGCTTGTGACTATGTAAAGCACGATATTAAATCTTAGGAATCAATAAAAATGTTCGAGGACCCTATTTCCTTTTCCTTGTCTCACTTTGTCTCTTCCGTTTGCAGATCCTTGAAGTTTATGTGGATATAGATCCACATCACTGAGGACTGGACCATGAGTTTTGTGTTTCGAGGCAATAGAGCAGACCTAGAGTCTGGTTTTCCTGGATTTATTCCTGAACGGCGTACAGTGGTATTTCCTCTTACCCTGTGTAAATTTTACTTCACATTGCAAATCAAATTACATTTTAGTTAGATATCTTTCTAGTTGGAAGTATGACTATTCTTGTACTGTCTCCCGTCAGCGTGTTCATGCCCGGCCAGTTAATTCGAACTCTCTTGCTTTTCTTGTTACAGGTACTCCTGCTTAACTTTTTTTTTTTTTTTCTTTAAATTATTTACCCCCATAACTTCACATTTATCTATAATTGTTTCTTTGATGGTTCAGTTCTCTTGTTGTTCATGATCCTAAACTCACATCAGATGTCACCAAACTTTCTGGTTGGTGTTCTCAGCACTTGTAATTTTTGACTCCCTACTTTTAGATTAGCAATTAAGAAACACTGAACAAGGCTTTGAATCAATGCTTGTAGCTTTGGTTGGTACTTGCTGTCTTTCTGATGGCCACAACCCTGCGGATGTATGCAACTTGTCAGCAGCTACAGGCTCAAGCTCAAGCTCATGCTGTCGCAGCGAGTGGCCTTCTAGGCCATACTGAGCTACGATTGCACATGCCACCATCCATTGCCCTTGCAACCAGGGGTCGATTACAGGGACTTAGGCTCCAGCTTGCTCTTCTTGACCGGGAATTCGACGACTTAGGTAAAGATTTTTGGCCCAAATTTTGTGAAGTCAAGAATAGCATATTATACTTGTTCCAGTATTGCTTATGGGTTTGCTAGTTTAGCTGGTTGAGGTGATGGAGTTCAGTCACTAATGAGATCCATTTGATGCTGTCTGTACAGACTATGAAACCCTGAGAGCCTTAGATGCTGACAATGTTCCAACTGGCCCCTCAATGACTGATGAGGAAATAAATGCTCTACCTGTTCACAAATATAAGGTTTCTGGTCCTGAAAGGTATGACCATGGTGCGACTGAGCATACCTTTTAACCTTTCAGTTGTGCTTGTTTTTTTTGTTCGTGTGTGTGTGTGTGTGTGATAGACAACAGCTGTTTCTTTGGCTTTGATGACCTTGGTCATTGTTTTTGCTTGTTTTTGTAACAGTACTTCCAGTCCATCAGTTCAGCCGGCTACTTCATCCTCAGCTGAGGTGAGTCCTCTTGTCCATTCAAAATGCTTATTGGATAGTTTGAACACTCACTTGATGTTAGATTAAACTTTTTCCAATCTATTGCAAATTGAGTCCGGGACCTTGAAGCTTCAAGACTCTCATAATCACTTTTTTAGTGGTTGTTCTGGCAATAATCTCTCCTTTTCAATGACACACAGAAGAAGCAAGATCCTTCTAATGCAAATGGGGGTGTGAAGGCGTCTGATGACGAACTGACCTGTAGTGTTTGCTTGGAGCAAGTTAATGCCGGTGAACTTGTTCGTAGTTTACCATGCTTGCATCAGGTTCGACTTCCTTTATACTGTGACCTTGAGTAAATTTTGTTTTTCCCCATGTTCCATTGAACAGTTCTTTCACCATATTCATTTGTTTGCTAAACCCCCCATTTTGACTTGACCTGGTTAATTTGTAATTGGAAGAGGTGAAGAACTACCTGATCTACTGGTGGAAAGACATGATCTATGGTTACTGAGGACTTGATTGTCAACTTAAAAATAGTTGTTCATCAGAATGTCTGAGTTGGTTTCTTTTATTATACTTGCAATTGCTAATGCTCCGATTTATTTTCAACAGTTCCATGTCAACTGCATTGATCCCTGGCTGCGGCAACAAGGGACGTGCCCTGTTTGTAAATTTCGAGCTGGTTCCGGGTGGCACCAGAATGGAGAAGAGGAAGAAATGGATGATGCTTCATTTATGGTTTAGGATTTGCAGCACAATAAGATATCGGTCTAATTTATACATCTAAGTATTGCTTGTGCTTGAGAATCACTGATCTGATTATCATTGTTGTAGACTTTGTCGTTACGTGGCAAAGCAAGAGACTGTACTTTGGATTCTCTTCAATCCAAGTAAGAGTCCTCAAATATAAGCCTTTCTGATTAGGTTTTATATTTCAGCCAGACATTCAACTTCCTATTGGTTCGACTAGGAGATTGTGGCGTTCAACTTGGGTATCAAACTCCAAATCTCCAACTACTGTCGAAAGTTAGTGCTGATGGCTGTTGAAAATCTCCATAAAGCCTTCCTGAACATACAGATGACAATCACCCACCTTACTCCACCCACAAAGTGACTATCTCACATAGCAGTTATTTGGTTTGTTTGTGAAATGATCCATATTAAAGGAAAGGACGGTTACAGGAGCAAACATCAAGGACTACAGCTTGAAAGTAAATGTCACGGCACGTCAATGTGCACAGAGCAGATATTATTGTTAAGCAAATTAAGGGTAGCATATCACAAACAACATTATTTTATCATAGATGCAGAAACTTCAACGGACGATAGACCGCTATCATCCATGAATTTTAAGATAAATATCTCAGTTGACAAAGGGGAACGCATACGAAGTTAAGAACCCTACTTTCCCTTCCCCTTTCCCTTGCCTTGACCTTTTTTGGCTTCGAGTTTGGCTTGAATACGAGCAGCAGCGGCTGCCTTTGCTTCCTCTCTTTTCTTCTTCTCTTCCTCTTTTGTTGCAGCAGCAAGCTCTCTCTGTTTCTTCAATACCCTTTTTTGTCAAAGAATGTCACAGACATTAGGTCATAAGCTTAGGTCTAGAATTGATGAACTAGGTATCAAAGTGCTTAAACTTACTCCAATCTAGCCTTCTCATCAGAAACGCTGCTTAAACTTGCCCCTTTCCTTGGCCTGCATGCAACCAACTCCACCTCGAAGATGAGTGTTGCACTGCATCACATCATTTGCAACCTTGAGAACTTAATTTAGAACATAACAGTTTACACAGCATTAAGCTACACTGAAATATTGTGAAGGACATCAAATGGAACACTGTAGATCAGAGACTAGTGACCATTTCTGGATTAATTGGTAACTTATTCTACCACCAAGGAAGAAGATGGTCCACTTCCGTACTAGTAAACAATATTCGGGGAGAGTGCCGGATTTAGAAACCCACCATTGCACGTGATTTCGTTTGTGCCGAGACAACGATAAAACTCAAATGTAAACATTTTGTCGGGTGATAAAAAGTCCAAATCCTCAATTTCACATGGGTAAATTGATAAATAGAGCAGCATGACATGCTAAGATGTTCTGAATTTTACTCATTCGGAATTTCGACAAGCTGATTCCCACACTGATTAAAGGATGTCTTTATTTACAACTGACTTCACTTAAAATATGGGAAAACAGAGACCAGAGAAGAAAAATTACTCGGGAGGTATATCTGGAGGAGAACCAACGCTTCCATAAGCATATTCTGGCTTGCAAGTGATTTTTGCAACCTCCCCAACCTGTGCATGACAGTGTGAACAAGAATTATTCACTGAACATCGTTATCATCAACTTAAGATATAACAGCACCCTACCTTCATAGTTTTCAGTGCAATATCCCAGGACTTGATCACAGACCCTGTTCCCAACTCAAATGTAAAGACAGTATTATCTTCACGGGTGGTGTCAAAAACTTCACCAGTATCGGCAAGGACACCTTCATAATGAACTGCAACATACCAGGAGTAGTAGAAAGTGAAATACAAAACTTGTCATTTACTCAAGCGGATTCCTCTATTCCCAACTCCACCATGCTCAAAGAGAAATAATTCACGGACACAGGACACAACAGTCATTTCAAACCCTCTAAAAAAATGGTCAAAGGTTCAGACTCCGGATTAAAAATTCCAGAGAACATCTCTATACAGATAATCGTAGACGCTATAAACTCAATTGACATTAACTTGGAATCATTCTTGCCAAATTATTTACAAAATCGATAGATCATTGTTTTAAATGGCTCGGACCAGAAATAGAGCCGGTTTCCTGATCATTTGGCAGTACCTGTCTCTCAGTTTCAAGATTACTGGAGAAATAAAAAAACTTCTCCCCCATGGTATTACACTTTGCACTTGCCCTCCGAGTCCCACTACAGTAAGGATAGTTATAACTTAAACACACTTACCGTCCACGAGAGGAAGACTATCAGAAGGGGCAATTGCATCAGGCTTTGCATGCCGCACAATAGTCTTCAGGACACCTCCATCTCCAGTTAAATCAATCTTCGTAGTCATGGCTTCGAATGTTTGGCTAAACTGAATCATATCCCAAATAATACCAATTCAGAAAAGTACCATATATATACACAAATAGATCAACATTTTAGCAAAATTTTGCCCTAAAACATAGGTGGGAAATCTCCAGTTTCGTCAAAGACCACATGAACTTTATCAAACAAAGGAAAGGGCCATAGAGGAAACTGAAAGAGCAGACACTGGTTTAAAAAAAAAGAAAAAGAAAGAAGAAAATAACTAGCATTAGCGACAGATGAACAAACTGAGGCGAACGAATTAGGTCAATCTCAAACATGATACAATTGTAACGGATGTAAAATCTTGTTAATAAAATATACTCATTACTGTTTGGTTGTAAGTGAATTAAAACTCTAAGCTGATCAGACCACAACTATAGCCTTCCAAAGGACAAGAGGTTATATCAGCCTATAGGCCCTATACCATGACTTTATAAGACGAGTAAATCAAAATCAGTGCCGGCTATATTCATCAAACATATAAGAAAAGACCCGAGCTTTTGAAAGATATTTAAAGAAAGCATATTATTTGTGTATCCAAGCTGGATCGTGAAATAAAAAGACTAAATATAAATAGAGCAACATATTAAGAACACACCCAAAAACAGATTTTGAGCCAATAAATCTTTAAATTACATTAGCCCAAGTATACAAAAATCCTGCATACCCAAAATCCTTATGTAACTGAAAACTAAATCGTCAAAGTTAGTACCAATGATTCCGATAAGAAAGTTATAAAACCCTTTTCTCCACCCCCGTCTCAACTTCGTCCTTTTCCAGTTTCACCAAGCGCAGAGCACCTCGAATCAAATGAGTAAATTAACAAGTACTAATCACAGTTGACGCGCCTTTTTAAGGCTCGCCTATATACAGATAATCAGAAACAGATTTAAAGAAAGCGAATGTGGGTTTAACAGGAGAACTTTGGTTCTCAAAAGTAAAGAGCATAAATTACCTGAACGATGAATAAGGAAGACAAGCGCAGTGAAGGATTGAATAGGAAGAGGAATCGGAGGGTACAGGAATTGAGGAGGAATCGTTGGCCATAAGCTTCTGGTGTCTGTCTTCTTTGCTTTCTCTGCTTCAGCTTTTCTTTATCAATTCTCTTCTGCTGAAAATTATTGTTCTTTTAGCTTATTTTACTAGTGTCCCTAAAATTACGTCACCGGATGTTGTACTGTTCCACTCCCACTTGGGACCAAGTCCAATTCAAGTAAAGGCCCATTGTGGCCCAATTTATTTTGACCCTTTTGAATATGAGTCGGGCTTAAGCCCAAATATCTTTTTGGTTTTCCTTTTATTTTTTGGATTATTTAAAATTTCAAACCTTTAAATCCATCAAATGTTATTTTTTTTTCCCCACAAATAGGTTTACCTAGTAGTCTACGGTCTCTCTATAAGGGACCTCCTAGTACCGAAACTCGGTAAAAGTTATTTGAAATCTTTCAAATATGTGAAGCCTAAGTTCTCTTCCAAAACCATTCCCCATGAAACGCTCATTTTGACTTCCACTGTATTGTTATTGCATGGTACGATGAGTCTCCTCTATAACAAGCAATTAGGACGTTCAAGATGTAAGTGAAAATTCAGGAATTGAAATGCTCATCCTTTTTTATCCCCTAAAAAAAAGTTCATACGAAAAAGGACTTTGCAGTACCAACTCCCAAGTGCTTTCAAGATGGCCCATAGTATCGGATCAAGGGACCCAGAATCATGGCTACTTGAGTAAAATGATTGTGGGGCCTGACTAAGTCCCCCATTAAGTTGCATTATTTTTTTTGTACCCAATCCAATGTAACTATGGAATTTAAAGTCTTTAATAAGAGCCCAATCAAATAATTGAATCAGGCCCATCTGAAATAAATGAAGGAAATGACGAGAGCTTTGGAGCTTGGAGTAGGTGCGGGAGTTTTATCTACATTTGTTTTTAAGATAATTATCAGCATTTTGATAGGAAGCAAATTATCTACATCTTGATAGTTGCTCCAAACATTAAAGAGTCTCTAACTACATCGAAGAGACTTCGAGTCTCTGAATCAACTCAAAGGGTTAGTCACTGTAGATTATGCCCTTGCTATGTGGCAAACAAAGAGAGAGAGAGAGAGAGAGAGGGAGAGAGAGAACAGCAGGAATAAATCACACACGTGATCGCCAATGGGACTTGGATTCTTTAGGAATCTTTTGGCGCAGCTTGAGTCAAAAGAAATAAAGAAAGTGAAGATGAGAGAAGTGACCAAAATCTTTAAGCTCAGTCTAATTCGTGAATCTCTTTCTTATTTTTCTGCCCACTAAACAAAAAGGGGAATCAAATCAAATATTCCTGCAAGGTTATCCGGTCTAAGTCCATTGTATGTGGTATAACCCGATTCGAATCAAATATCTTTTATGGACGTCCAACCAGACGATTCTCATCCTTGAAAGGATTTTGCAAGAGATCGAAAAATTCTCACCGCACATTGCAAAGATCGTGCAGAATTACCTAAGAACTCAGCGGATGCTGGATTGTGTTTTCGAGCAGAAGATATGGTAACAACACCGTCCAATGTTGTATTCTATAACATATTTTGTAGCGACTTATTTTTATGGGACGGAAGGACTATATGTTTTTTGAAGGAAGATTTTTGGATATTTGATCCAACAGTATCTTTTCTGCAGGCATGCCCAAGAGATTTTGCAGATAATTATGCTTCAGAATGTATATATTTGTGGCCTCTCTTAATAGCTGGTGAATTCTGTCTGAATCTTGGTCTGATTGCAAAAGTTGATCAAAGCATGAAGATCTTGGTGATTTTGTACTGCACTCGGAGCGCTGCGTACTGTTATCAATCTAATTTAATTGCAAATTAAATTGGAGAATGTGGGATCCTCGTAGGAAGTCGTACTTAATTTGGTACTAAGTCGCTCTGATCGGTGATTAGGAAGTCTCTTTCAATAATGACGGTGGATTTCCTAAAATTCCTTATTATTCAATTCAACCTACTGTAACCAATTGGCCCCAAGCCTTCTTTAATTAAGGACACAGTTCTTTTTAATTTTTATTCTATCATTTTCTTCTTCTTCTTCTTTTTTTTTTTTAACCATAAAAGAGACATAACCTGAAGTGTATACATCATGATTCAAACCTTCGACGGTTCTAGTAATCAGTGCAACATCCAGGGCCTGAACTGCTTTACAAAAAAAAAAAAAACAGAAATAATCGAATCCCATTTTAACTAAAGGGTATGTCACATTTTGTAATCTACGAATAAAACAACTTCAACAAAAAAGAGTAGTAGGTTAGTTAAAAACTGAAAGATCAAAGTACAGAAAACAGTAACGGGTGGGGATCAGCTCAACAAAGACAGACATCCAACCCATGTGAACATATATATCCATAAGCCAATAAGGCCATGTGACCTAATGGCCTAAAGGTCGGAAAGTTCTCTCAAACTCACGCCACCAAAGGGCGTTGTGTCACAACACTATATATATACTCCTCGATTAATCAATTGATTTTCTCCATGACAAATTGTTACTCCTATGTTTCCTAAGGCTAAGGTTCCCCAGCATGTAAGAGACTCATCATGATGTGACTGTTGACCCCAAAAAAATATAAAATTATATCAATTGGTCACTTGCATTTCTCTTAATTATGTAGGCTTGTATTTAGTAGGCCCGTATTAAGATTCGATAAGGTACAAAGTATATACAGTAGTATGGCTTTGCGGATTGCAATTATAAGTTTGTCACTATCTCCTTGCCGGGCTTACGTAATAGAACAGGCCGATTGGGCTCCATACTCTCTTGTTTAAATTAGGTCATTTGGAATTTGTAGGCACGGCCGAGCCAACTGTTACTGAGATTTGAGTGAGTTAAAATCAATTAAATTTCAAGGAAAATGGACTGTACTTCTCTTTCTTTCTTGTTTTGTTTTTTTAGTATATGTTTTTAGTATTTTTTCTATTGAGAATGTAAAAAGATGTGTTTGAAATGTAAAAAAGTATGACGGGATGGTACAGTTATTATTAAAATAATCTGAAAATACCATAAAAAAACAAACAAACAGAGCCTTAGTTTTTAAAATAAAAGAAGCCATTTACCTTGTATACAACACTTATAAATTCTCATCCCGCTCTAAACGGAAATATATATATATATATATATATATATATATATATATGAATATCTCTAGAAACTCCACCTACGTATAACCTTCTTACCAAATTAAAGTAACATTCAAGTTCGTTCATTTACTTCATCGGGGTAGAATATATAATGGTGGGTGCACCATTGGTTATTTGCGCCCCAAGCCAAGGCCTCAACAATCCAGCTTTGTACGGCTTCTCCTTTCTTCTTTTTTTGTGTTCGACAACAAATTCACTATTATTTTGTTTTTTTACGCACTCGGAATGAACAATTAATTAGTCAATATATGAAGGCATTAACATGGTTGAGATAAAAGGGAGGACGCATGCCAAAAGCAATTCGATTTTTTAAACCACTAATCATTAGTGATTAGTCAAGCAATAAGTACTACTATAAACTATTAAGCACCAAGCTAGTGTGGGAAAATGGAAATGATTGAGATTCGAATTTTTATTTTTTTTTATTTTTTCATCTTTTAAATTCCGGGTTCATCTTTTTGCTTAGACGACCAAAATAGCTGCAAATAGCTTTTCAACTCAATCACCAATCGTCAGACCATTTTTCTCCTTGTAAAATTGCAAGTTTGTCACTTTACTCACTTTAGTGGAGTAATAACTTTTAGCCCGTGATCAGATATTAATGATGCATTAAATCTGTACTTTGATTGTGATATCAAAGATCTATAATGATGATGACTAACATATCATTAATCCAAAACGCACACTAGTTTCGATGTCGGTTTGATGCAAAAAAAACTAGTCTTACTGCCTTGATTGCTTAGCCAAAACGTGTAATACTTCCTCCGTCCCATAATTATTGTCCAGTTTGAATTTTTATTTTTAGTTCAAATTGTGCTAA